GCTCTGGCTAAGCACAGTTTTTAGAGAGTAGGGAAGGTTGTACCAATGGTTCGCTCAGCAGTTCGAACTATTTGACGTAGTCTTCGAAGGTCAGATTTGGTAGCTGAGCTAAACCAGACAGTTATTGACGTGCAGATGACTGATTCAATGATGGATGTGGGAAACTGTTTCAGCATCTCCTTTGGGAGGTTGAAGTTCCTCAGGTGACTAAGAAAGTACAGCCTTTGTTGAGCTTTTTTGACAATGGAGTCAATTTGAGTATCCCACTTCAGGTCCTTAGAGATGGTGGTGCCAGGGAACCTGAATGACTCCACTACTGCCACAAAGCTGTCCATGATGCTCAGTGGGGGGAGAGCAGGGGGTTTCTCCTGAAGTCCACTATCATCTTCACTGTTTAGGAGCTATTTAGCTACTGTAGACATTGTGTTGGATTTACATACAGTTGAAGACTGAATTATTAGTCCCCCTGAATTATTAGCTCCCTGTATTTTTTCCTCAATTTCTGTTTAACGGAGTGAAGATTTTTTTTTCAACACATTTCTAAACATAATAGTTTTAATACCTCATTTCTAATAACTGATTTATTTAATATTTGCTGTGATTCTATACAGCTTAAAGGGGCATTTAAAGGCTTAATTAGGTTAACTAGGCAGGTTAGGGTAAGTTATTATATGACGATGGTTTGTTCTGCAAACTATCGAAAAAAATATAGCTTAAAGGGAAAAATAATTTTGTCCTTAAAATGGTGTTTAAAAAATTAAAAACTGCTTTTATTCTAGTTGAAATAAAACAAATAAGACTTTATCCAAAAGAAAAAATATTATCAGACATACCGTGAAAATTTCATTGCTCTGTTAAACATCATTTGTGAAATATTTAAATCAGAAAAAAAAAATTAAAAGGGAGCTAATAATTCTGACTTTAACTTTATATATATTAAATATATGTATCTTTATTTACTTAATGAATGTGTTCAGATTAAATTTTAAGTTAAAAATTAAATTTAAAATGATCTATGATGTGAACAGCAATTAAAATGACCTTAGGTTGTGCTGTTATTTATTATTGTTGATTAAATAAATCATTCCAAAACATAGTGCAGTTTAAATTTTCAAGATTTATTTTCATGTTGAACTTCAGTATGACGTAATGAACAGAAAACACCTTCAGAGAAGGTAAAAACAAGACTTTAAACATAAAAGATACATTTGTAAATCACTAACAGTGAAAACATTGAGCTGCCCTTTACAGGGGAAAAGTCTTCTTCATGTAAACACATGCAAACATTAAAAACTATAATTTGTGCTTCAATACACAAATAAATATTTCAAATGAAGATATATTTCTCTAACAATAAGAGAAAATCAGATATATTTCAAACAATAGAAATAAAAATAAAGCACTTTCTATAAAAGAAAGTAGTGTGATCATCCTTTACATGCAGAGCAAGAACCTTCAATGAAGGTAAGATCATGACTGCATATAAAAGACAAATTATTTCACTAACAGTGAGAACATTAATCTGCCCTTTACAGGGAAAAAGTCTCCTTCATGCAAACATTAAAAACAATCATTTGTGCTTCAACACACAAACAATTCCTTCAAATGAAGAAATATTTCTCTAACAATAAGAGAAGATGAAATTATTTCAAACAACAGAAATAAGAAGTAAAGCACTTTCAGTAAATGAAAGCAGTGTGGTCATCCTTTACATGCAGAGCAAGAATCCTTCAATGAAGGTAAGAAAATGACTTTACAAATAAAAGTGAAATACTTTGACTAACAGTGAAAACACTGATCTGCCCTTTACAGGGGAAAAGTCTCCTACATGTAAACACATGCAAACATTAAAAACAATCATTTGTGCTTCAACACACAAATAAATCTTACAACTGAAGAAGTGTTTCTTATATTATAAGAAAAGATAAGATGCATTTCAAATAGCAGAAATCTAAATCAAGTGTTTTCAGTGAACTAAAGCAGTGTGGTCATCGTATAGATGAAGAGAAAACAAACCCAATATGGGTGAAATGTTCAAATGTCTGAATCAGACTTTAAAGTTTCTACTGAATGTTAATTTTCACAAATGCACTGTAATAATCATTCTACACAGCAGATGATTGTGTGCATTGAGATCAAACATGACTGCTCACACAGTTTCACTAAACTCTCTTTCTCTGAAAGCAGATTAAATGTCCTGCAGAAGCTGCAGAGGCGGAAATCAATTCCTACTTTCTGAACTTCAGTCCATGCCAATCTCAGACTGGCATCGTGACTCGTGTCTCCTCAATGGTACGGCGGGTGCTCTGAGCTCTACCAGGGTCTCCAGATGTGACTGTGGGCTGGAGTGTGTTGTTTGGCGCTGCTGTTTGCGTGTGTTTCAGTGGTCTGAGGATTGTCCACACGTGTGTGCTGGTCTGCAGGAGTCTGCATGTGCAGGAAGAGCTTCATCAGTCTTGTGTGGCTCTGCGTCTGCACTGGGCACTGAGACAGAAAGCTGACGGCCTCCTGCACACATCTGGAGCGTCCGTCACCAGCCGCACTGCTTTTCTGAGAGCGTCTCAAGAAATCAAGCGTCATCTCCAGGATATCAGCTTTCTCCTGTCTGGAGTCGGGCTGCTGCTTGACGAACTCTTGAGCCAGAAGAGTCTTGAGCTTCTCGATGCTGCTGTTGATTCGCTCTCGGCGGATCTTCTCCACCATGGGCTTTCTCAGCTGAGGAAACATTGAGGACAGGCGTTTAGAAACACTCATCCAGCATTTCTGGAATCTGACATTGAGAGCTGAGCTGTGAAATGATCAATATTTACCTTGTTTGTCAGTAGAGTTTCTCTGCTGCTGATTGAGCCAGTGATTGTAGGAGCCATTGCTGTGTGTCTTGTGTTCAGTTCTCCGTCAGGATCAGATCTGAGCTGTGCTAAACTCTCACTCCTCTCTCCTCTATTTATACTCACAAATCTCCATATCAATGTGTGAGTCTGGAGTTTGCTGGAGGTTCTCACAGTCTGCAGCCAATGGGAGCGTTTGGAGTGACACATGGCGGCTGAAGCCCTTTTTGCTCCAGCACAAAGAGCTCATCTCTGGGGAGCAGGTGGAGGGGCGTTTAAGAAGGATGAAAACTGATTCAGCTTGTGGCCTGTGAATGTGGGAAATTTGTGACCTCGTAAAGTGATCTAAGTGACTGCAAGTTTCAGCTTAGTTCTTTAAAGCAAGGTTTATTGTGTTCTTCACACAGGGCCCCAACATTTTTCTGTTGTCTCTTGAGAGTTAGACATGAGGCTTCCGGTATTTACAGTATGTTTTGCAAATATTTCAACTCGCACAACCTTTGTGCCATACACAGTATTTACAGTATACTACAGCATTAAAGATTACTACATTATTTTCACAATTCAAAATACAACACAATGATATTTACAGTGTGTTCTACATCAATAGTTAATGTACCATAAGAAACTTGCAGTTTCCTTTAGTGTATAAGTTTATTTGCAATTTTAAATAGTTTTTATTTTGTCAATATAAACTGTTTATATTATATATTTTATACTATATCAAAACTGTAATTTAATAATAAAAATATGTTCCATGTCAGTCTCTTGATGAGGTCTAATCAGCACACTTGTGTCTTGGCACACTCTTTCTCTCTCTCTTTGCTCCTCCGGCAGCTGCTGCTCACAGGCTCAGCACTGAGATCCTGGGAGCGTCGCTGCAGCACGGCTTCCCACACTTATTCATTAACAACGCTCATCTGCCTCATAATAGAAGCGTGGCCCATTACACAAAGTCACACTGTGACCCAACGCCAGGCTCGCCATCTGGAGGCATCATTCAATTACCTCCAGCGCAAGTATGCACTGCAGAGGCCATATCAGATTACACATCATCTGCTCCTTCTGTACTCACTTCCATTTTTGTGAGATAATATGTAATGGGTAAAATATTTTTCATTAGCTTGTGTTATCAATAAAATGTGGAAATGTGATTTTTTTTTTATTATATACATCAAGTTTAATGAAATTGTCAAATTTTTCATCATATTAATAAGTATGTGTGTTAAACAGTAAATACAGTTATTACTAATTAATAGTAAAAAACATAATAATGCTTAATGTAAGTATAAAAATGGATATCAAATTGATTTGATGTACTTTTATGCTGAGTTTTACTTGTTTTCACACTATATATGCTATATTTATACATTTTTAATTACATTTTATTATGATTTAAGGTTAATTAAATAATAAAGTTGATTTTATAAGAGTGTAAAATGTAATAAATGAATATAGGAAAGGTTTGGGTGAAAACTATACGTTTAGACATGTTTAAATAGTTTCAAGAGCTATATAAGAGAAATACTCCATCATCGTTTATTATTATAATAAATATTGCTATAAGTATATTAAATCAATAATAATAATAATTCAAGTGAATATAATTAGAATGATCTGATAGATGTTTGTAATAGTATTATATAAAAATGTGTACCAAAAATGCATACAAATATAGGAATAAATAAATCATTAAAATAAACAAAGCTAATAAATTATTTTGTCTATTTATACATATTTATGTATTTATGATTAAATAAGATAAATAAATAAATTAGGATAATGAATGTTAAATATATAGAAACAAATGAATAGGTATGAATAAAGCTGTCTGAACTTTCCCTTCAACTTTCACCAGTATTTTTGGACAGATGTTTAAGTGCACATTCCCACCACATATTATTGTTGACAACTTGAATGAGGTCAATGCTGATTCACATGCTCAATGCTGCTCTTTCAGCGATGTCTCATTCCTTGACGAACATACAAAATAAAAGTTCCTTTCCACCTGCTCTGTTGGTTCTCAGGCCCTTGCTATTATTTATTTAAACAATCCACACTTGCACCATTGTCATACTGCAGCTTCCCGATTGGTTAAAAGTGTGAGAACTCACATCTCATTAAATTCAGCCGGTCTGCATATAAATTCAACCCAAGTATGAGAAAAAGGTCATTGAATTTCACTGAGCACTGAAGAACGACAATCCTTCGCCATGAGAGATCTGCAGAAAACGTAAGTTAACACTCATGACATTAAGTTACACCTGTTGTTTTTTAAGTTTTAACATTTTTCAGTCTAATGTGAAGGGGAAAATCCAAAAATACACTTTATCCATTTGTGCCTGTAGAATTCAATTAAAATACATATTTATAACGGCAATTTCACAAATTAAGTTATTTTTTTATTGCGCTGAGCCTAAATTTCAATTTAATCTGTTCTTTAATACACCAGACTTTACGTTTTATTCATAACTACATTCTGAAGGTTTTACTGGGGAACATACTTCATCTGACTGTATGCATTTTATTCTATACAAAACTTACTGAATTATGGATTGAATAAAAGAGATTCCCTAATCATCTCTATAAAAACAACAATAATATTGAACCTGAAATGCAATATATGCAAATTAGTGCATAATTCATTAGGTAAAGCCTCATTTGCATATTTAAACATTTTAGACAACTTCTAACAAAAAAAAATTATAAATAAATAAATTATTAACCATACTAATCTTGTCGTATAATGTATTAGCAACACATTTTTTTTCGTCTCAACTTTATTTTTAAGTTATTTACACTTCTGAACTCAATGTTTGTAACTAAAGCCTTCTTTTGTATCTCAGGTGTAAAATTGTGAGCCTGGAAAGGAAATGCTCAGATGGTGTAGAGCAGTTTCTGGGTGTTTTGGAGCAGCGGCTGCACAATGGCATCTCTCCCACTGAGCTTTGGGACAAAACCCTCTCGTTCTTCACCCCAAAGAAGACCTTGATCTTCCACAATGGATACTCCAAGTACTCCAGGGAGACGCTTCGGTTGTTTCCAGACTCTGCAGAAGACGTGTCTCCTCTTTGCATTCAGCAGTGACACAAACATATGTTGTGGAAGAGATGGAAGTTCTTTGGTCAAGTCTTGGTCTTCAGAATTGCTGAACTGAACTTGGTTTTTCTGCTGGACATGGAGGCATGATTTTTCTGTCTCTTTTTTTAAAATACAGCAGCATATTAATGAAGAAAAGTCTTTTATAAAGACATGATGTGCATAAAAACAAATGGTACCCTAAGGGGGTTTTGTATTCCAGAAATGGATTTATGATAGGATTTGTTGTAATGCCAACAATTGTGCGTAATTGCTTTTGATGCAATATACAGAGAAAAATGATATCATGAGTTTGCTAAATGATAAACCTGACACTAAAGTTATTTAAGAATAGAATATGTTTGTCTGCTGTTTTATGCAATGGATTGTGTTAGTCTGAATGCTTAAATGCATTTGCTAATGATTTAATCAGATGTTTGTTAACAAAATAAAATTCTTTCCTAAAATTTGAGTATTAAATGCCTGTATTTAACTTTTTCCTGATAAAATATCCCGAAATACTGGAAACTGTTAGTTAATTGATATTTTAAAAGATTATATTTATAGCCAATATTGTTTTATTATGATTATTTAAATTGATTAACTCTTAAGTTTATGTTATTTTACTTTAAACTTTACAAAAGTTTAAACAAAAGGTACAAAAGGCCCATACAAATAGGTTTTTCAGATATACACAGAGAAACTAATCACATTTTATTTTTATATCATTCTGTTGATTATAAGTTGACCTAACTTAACTCGACTAGTTAAGTAGCCCAGATAGTAGTATAAGTTGTACTTGTAATGTTTGTTTAATCAGTAATATGTAGAATGACTGCTATAAGGCCATAAAAATAAAATGTAAGCTATAACTTAAGCTGTCTATATTTCTAGTTGTTCTAAAGCAAATTGTCTAACTAGACCAGGGGTGCACAAACTTTTCTTATGAAGGGCCAAAAACCAAACTTGATTGAGGCTAGTGGGCCAAGGTAAATATTTGCCATGGGTAATTTCCTAATTTATTTAATAATGTGGTCACACTTCATTTTGATGGTCTGTTTGTTAAATTTAAGTTGCGTTGCATCTATTTGACAACTAATTCTCATTGATTAGGTAGACTGTTATGTTGGGGTTGGGGTTAGGGTTAGTGTAGGTTGACATGTACAGTACTTGCAAAGTTTCTTATAGTCAGTTAAACATCTGTTGAAGGAGCAGTATCAACAGATATTAAACAGACAGGCTACCGATACTCAAATGAGCCATAAAATAAAATGTTACCAATAATGTTTAACAATGACTAGAAAACATTGTCTTATATTTACTAATACAGTATTTTTTACATTTTATAATGAACTTAATACAGTAAAAACAAAACAATCTCATTAGACAAATTTTTGCCTCAATATGCTCATCAATGTCTTCTGCATGTATAGTCTTCTATCTGTCGAGTGACAGTATTTACATTTTAAAATAAAATAAAATTTATTTACAACTATTAATTGAAATATTTCATTTAAGATTGCTCTTAATAAAATACATAAAAAGCAATAAAACAAACAAAAAAGGTTATGTCAAATTAAAAAATTACCTTCTCGGTGCTGTGATGAAAATATTAAAGGCATTCGCCCCAGCCCTCTCCACCATTCTCATTCTTCTCTCAGATGGGACAGTGGCTCAAATCAAAGGTTACAACGTTGGCCTGCAGGCTCTACTTTGGGCATCTCTGAACCAGACACTGTTCTGTACCGCCATCTCATGGTCTCCAAAAGTCACTACAACGGTATTCATTGTTTTCAGCAGTTACAGAGCATTTCATATATTACAGGTCAATTCCTCTCTGAATGTGACTTTGCTTGCTTTCGCTGTTTTTAAAATAAGCAGAATTTTCATGTTCGCTAAGATTTACACCGCAAAATCCCAACGCATCACTGTTCTGTGTATCTCAGTGGTGTGTGATCCTCTTACATCAAAAAACAGGGCCGGTTGATTTATTGCCTTCTGCTGAGGGGCTGTGTCTCTGCGTGTGCATGTGTGTGTGTGCATCATGTGTGTGTTCCTCCAGTGTGCTACTAATTCCACTGCTGTTCCACTGAACCCCAAAACCTCCACATTGCAACATTCATCCAGCAGTCACTCTCTGGGCTTCTGGCCTGGTTTCTTTATATGATCAGACCTGTGGGACGTGTACTGGGAATGAAACCCTCCCAGTTTAATCACACTTACAAGAATGAACAGAACAGCAGTATGTAGTTCAGAAATATCTTTCAGCGCATGGCTGCACACACAGAGACATTATTTGCAAATGACTCAGCATGTCGTAATAAACCTGGGTGGAAAATAAAACATTTTCTGAGGGAAAGATCATGATTTTATTCATGTGAAAGATCAGAGATATGTGGAGCAGGCAGTGCTTTAAATGTTATAGGATATATTAAGACCAATTTGTGGAAGAAAATATTAAAGCAGCAGTATAAACTGAAGTGACTTTAAAATGAGAACAGAAATGAAAAAACTAATTTTTTACTCTCACTTAAGTGGTTCCAAATGTTTTTGTGGTTTTTTTTTTTTTTGTATTCTATTGAACACAGAAGAATATATTTTGAAGAAAGCTGAAAACCTGTAACTAATGACTTCCTCCATTGTAGGAAAAAACAAATATTATGGAAATCAATGGTTACACATGGCGTCTGTATACAGATGAAGTCAGAATTATTAGCCCCCCTTTTAATTATTGATTTCTTTTTTTAAATATTTTCCAAATGATGTTTAACTGAGCAAGAAAATGTCCACAGTATGTTTGATAATTTATTTATTTTTTTATTTGTTTTATTTAACCTAGAATAAAAGCAGTTTTTAATAAAAAAAAAAAAAAACATTTTAAAGTCAAAAGCATTCACCCATTTAAAAGCCGGATTTTTTCGATAGCCTACAGAACAAACCGTCATTATACAATAACTTGCCTAATTATCCTGATCTGCCTAGTTAACATAATTAACCTAGTGAAGCCTTTAAATGTCACTTAAAGCTGTATAGAAGTGTCTTGAAAAATATCAAGTAAAATATTATGTACAGTCATCATGGCAAAGATAAAATAAATCAGTTATTAGAGATGAGTTATTAAAACTATTATGTTTAGAAGTGTGTTGAGAATATCTTCTTTCTGTTAAACAGAACTTGAGGGAAAAAATAAACGGGGCTAATAAATCAGGAGGGCTAATAAGTCTGTCTCCAGCTGTATATATTTCTAGCCTTTTAAAAAATATCTTCTTTTATCTTCAACAGATTTGGAATAATTGCAGTGTGATTAAATGATGACAGAATATTCCGTTTTGTGTTAACTGTCTTTTCAAGACATATGGACATCAGCAAAACATTTGTTTGTATTTTTGACATTGTATTGTGTTTTATTATTATCTCAATGCTACTTTGAAGGTGTCTTGAGTGAAAATCTCTCCAAAGCATCTCCAAAAGATCTGAACCAGAAGTCATGTGACATGTTTATATAGTAGCTACATATTTCTATAACATGAAGAAATTTGTTTCCATAACCGACACACACTGTCTATGTTGCACGCTTTAATTAGTTTCTGCAGTAATTGCAATTGATGCTCAAATATAGAGCTATGGGGAATTTCAATTTTTCTGCATTTACTGGATTTGGGTTTGAGTCAAATGTTAACATAAATTACTATTTTTTTTAGAGATTTCATCAGTAGTTTACAGAATATAAGAACAATGACACTTCTTGAACATCTTTTCTTGCTATCACTCTGCGCTTACATTCTCCCAAATGAATGGAATGCAGAATAGGACCTTCTCATCATTCAAATAAATGTACAAGACCTAAAGGGAGGCAGCTTTTAAGAAAGTCATTTTTATCTTCTAAATCAGTGGTTCTCAAAGTGGGGGTCGGGACCCCCTGAGGGGTCGCGGGACAATGAAGGGAGGTCGCCTGGTGATTTTCAAAAATCAATTAATTTTTATTAAACCTTAAGACTTACTGTATTATATCAATAACCTACTGAAGAGAAAAAAATAGTCGTTTATAGTTACTATAAACTATATAGTCACTATAGTAGCTTATAGTTACTAGTTCTATTGGATTGCGACTTCTCGGGTAATTACATTATATTAAAGACACAGCAATACTGTCAGATGCAGCAGATTTTGTAACACCAGGTTAAACTTTCTAGCCCATTTACAGCACTGACATACATAAAAAAAAAACAAAGAATAGACTTGGGTCTATTGGTGTGTTTGTGTGCGTCATTGCATACAAGGTTTCTGTATTTATAACCACCACCTCAGAGAATATTGGGGGTCACAAGTCACTGGCATTGTCATTTTGGGGGTCGCGGGCTGAAAAGTTTGGGAACCCCTGTTCTAAATGTCAGTTTTGTATATTTTTTGGTGCTAATATAAAACCTTAACACTAACATATTGATACTAATGCCAACAAAATGTTCATTTTAATTTCAGTGGTAGTAGGGAGTTGTTGCATTGTGAGGGAAACTCTGTCTAGAAAATGTAAAATGAGAAATTAAAAAAAGAGGAAGATTTGTTGCTTTATAAAAAAAAGTTAGATGGGTTGGGGATTAAGAGTTATTACTTATTAATAATGGGTTGAATAAAGGAATATTTTTAATATTTATTTTGTTGACATCGTCTTAGATGAAGTTTTATGCGTAGTAAAATAATAATTATATTCATTATAGGCCTATAATAATTTAACTCAAATAAGTTTTGCATATCCATATATGTGGTTTATTTTATGATATAGTGACATGTGTTTGTTCTTTTATAAATGATATAAATAAATATAATTGGGTGCATAGACTTAATAAGAATCAGATTTATTTTATTTATTCCCTGTGATTCTTTAACTTTTGCTTTGAGATGTTTATTGTTCAGAAAAGAAAAAAAAACAATTCTTAAGTTTTAAGCAGAAGGAAAATCTCCCCACATAGACCCTGCCTTGTTTATTAGTTATGTTTAAATCATATTTGCTATAAATTCTAACTTTTCTTCCTAATTATTAATAACATTAAAGCTTTTTGTCAGAATAACAAGTTCAAATTGTTGTTGTTGTTTTTTCTATATATATGTATATAATTATATAGTTATATAGATACTTAATGGAGAGAAGATTTTTTTCAACACATTTCCAAGCATAATAAATTTAATAACTCATTTCTAATAACTGATTTATTTTATCTTTGCCATGATGACAGTAAATAATATTTTACAAGATATTATTCAAGATATTTCTATACAGATATAAGTGACATTTAAAGACTTAACTAGGTTAATTAGGTTAACCAGGCAGGTTAGGGTAATTAGGCAAGTTATTGTATTATGATGGTTTCTTCTGTAGACTATTGAAAAAAATTAAAGGGGCAAAAAATTTTGACCTTAAAATGGTTTTTAAAAAATTTAAAACTGCTTTTATTCTAGGTGAAATAAAACAAACAAGGCTTTCTCCAGAAGAAAAAATATTATCAGACATACTGTGAACATTTCCTTGCTCTGGTAAAAAAAAAAAAAAAATATGGAAAATATTTTAAAAAGAAAAAAATCAAAGGGGGGCTAATAATTCTGACTTCAACTATATATATATATATATATATATATACACACACACACACACACACTTTTTTAAAAATTTTTTTTACATATTTTCATCACAGCACCAATGTTTCTCATTTGAATTTGTAATTCATACATATTCATGTCTGTTAATCTTATCAGAAAACTAATTTATGTTTCCATATCTAAATATATGTTCAAATATTGGAAAATAAATAACACATACCTTTAGTTATTTAAAGCTGGAAGAATAGCATGATCAAACATCATGAGATTGCGTTGTCTATTAGCCTACTGACTGCAACAGTAGGTTACAACACGTGCAAATGCCTACACTTTTCCAAACCGCCACACTTTGTCCAATGATAGAGTCAGTGATGAGATGAGAGCTCTTCTTTTGTTCAGGTATTTAGGTTATAGGCGACGCCCGTGACTCGCAGTCTTCAGTCTTCAATGAGAGCTCGAGACTGCGCTTCTTCACACTCCACATCTCTCTCTCCTCCACAACTCACTCGCGCTCATTGTAAACTGAGACAAGCAATAACGGAAGGCACACACACACACCGGAGAACAGGTGATCACTTTCAATTATTTTTCTTTTCTTATTGTTTCATAATGCATTACTGAGCTATTTTGTTAAGCTTAAGTGAAATATGCTGCCTTGATAAAACTATTGTTAATGTATAGGTTGTATAGATGCCATGACTAAATGTGCCGTTTTGTTTACAGTATGTTGCGTGTTTATTGCCAGATAATATGGTGTGATATCACAGCTGCTTTAAAAGCGGATAGTTTTAGGATACTCGTGAGCAGGGAAAGTGGAGTCTCCATACTAAGAACGAGCCCAGATTCCCTATTGAATTAATCATGTCACTGTTTACACAGACTAATGAGAGAAAGGGGTGAAGCTTTGATATTTTTAGGCTCATGAGCAGCATCGGCGTGCGCAGCAAGGGATGTTGAAATTAACGATGATAATATGAACATCGTGCAGTATGCAGATTTTGAATAATTAAGTGCATAGGAAACCGATAGAAGCTCATTATTTGTTTCCTTTTCTGCTAAATTATCATTATGCTGGGCTTCAAAGGGATATGAGCTATTGCATTAAGTTTCAAATAATTTCATTTTCTTTTTGTGGTACATTGGTTATGTGCAGTAATGCATTTCCCTGAACTTTATCCACGTTTTGCTGCCTCCTGTATTTTTTCCCCCCAAAAATACATCAAACTTAATTGCATGTGGCATGCTGCCATAAAATAGCTTGGGGGTTTAACAACTAACATCTGAAAAAGTTCAGCTACTGCATAATAATCTTTTAACATCCTCAGGCTTTATCTGTAACATCCAAATCACAAGCTCTTGGTCAAATCTCCAAGTTTTGCTGTTCATATATGTAAATGCAGCAGCGTTTTGGGAAATGCTGGATTTGTCACAACTCTAGTCTGTCAGTACATGAAAGCTAAATGCGCTTGTTTAATTAGTCACACTCATCTGCTCAGTCTGCGTAATCCATTTTCTGAGGATAAAAATCCCTTGGCCTGGATCAGTTCTCCTCATCCTCATCTCTAAGATGCTTACAAAAATTTCAGTTAGAGCGGATGTGCTTATACATGTCTGTCTAAATATTGTAGTAATAAGTCAGATAGGGAATATAGCATTTCTTAACTCTCCCAGACTCCATTGCCCACCCCCAGCCTATATATTCAATTCTGTCCAGTTGTGTCGAGATCAAAGACCCAGAGCTTGGTGCAACTCCCAAAGCATTGCAAATGTTTGCAAAAAGAAAAACAAAACTTTAAATTATCTGTCTCTTTGCATTGCTTTGGTTTACTTCAGGACATTACTTTTACTTTATGGTGTACAAGCTTGAAAAAAGCCAAGTGGTTTCTCAAATCCAATTACTCAATCAAATTCTATATTTGTCTAAGGTTGATGTGCTTAACATAGATATTTGGAGAGCAGAATAGCATTACACCATTTAAATAAATTGAACTAAATGAACTCCTTTTTTTATTGCATTTGCATTCTGTAATGCCCTTCTTGTGTGAAGGAATATTAATTTTCAGATTAATCTAAATGTACCTGCAGTATGAAAATTTTTATATATGATTTTAGGCCTAAAATGCAAAATATGAATATTTTCATAATAAGCTCAAGACAGTGATAACAAGGTACATGCAAATATGTAAAAGCTAAAATATTTGTTTTTTTCTGTATATCTGCCATAATACAAATATGGCTATGGAAAAGATAAAGAGAACACTAGGAAGTTTTACTGGATTTACAATGTGTTTGACTGAAATGTAATGTTGTTTTGCTTTGTTTTGTTTCTGTCTAAACTACTGATCATGTTTCTTTTGAACTAAAACATAAAAAGTATTGGCATGTAAAGCATAAATGACAGTTATTCAAAAAAGAAGCCGTGTACAGCGCTCAGCATAATTGAGTAAACCTCATTTGGAAAATGAACGTTTTTATTCATTTCTCAGTGAATATACACTCTCAGAAATAAAGGTATGCAAGCTGTCTCTGGTGTGGTACTTCAGGGGTTCATATTAGTACATAAAAAGTACAAAAGTGTACCTTTTAAATTTTTTTAGGTACAAATATATACTTTTAAAGTACCAATATGGACGCTTTATGTACAAATATGTTCCTTTTGAAAAGGTACTACTACCCCAGTGACAGCTTTATTTCTGAGAGTGTAGGTAATATATTTTGATGCATTTAAATAAAACAGATTTATTAAACAGATATTTATTTATTTTTATTTATTCTTTTTAAATTTTGTATTTAGTATTTTTCTATAACATATACATTTAAGTGTACTCGTTTTTGGACCGTTATCTTTAGTTATTTTGTTAGATAAGCTCCAGATTTGGCTTCAGTACTGACTAATCTAATGAATATGCACAAATATAATATTATATAGCTTCCTATTAAAAACATGAATTTAAAAGATTTGTGACAGGTGTACCTATATATGTTGAGCACTGTGTATATTCATTTTAGACAACACAATACCAATATTTTTACATCAGAAGAGTTAGGAAAGTAATATTTGGTGGGAAAACCCTTTTTTTAATCGTAATAAATGAAAACATTTGTTAACAGACCTACAGTAGAATACAGAATACATATTCTAATTATAAACTATTGAATTTATTTTAGAATAAATCTATTTATTATTATTATAACTTTTACTTTACCAGGAAAAGCACTTTGAGATAAAAAAAAATCTCTTTAACAAGAGCGTTCTAGCCAAGATTAAGCAGTATACAGTTCACATCGGTTTAACAAGCGAACAAACAAAAAAACATTATTTATCCATCAAAACACACATACAACGACAGATAAAAACTATTCAGAACATCTACAGGCCAATGTTTCAAACTCCAAATCATTTCAAATCTTTTTAAATGCAGGTAGTGAAATCAACTCTTTAAATGGCTACTTTGTTTGGAGGTATGTCCATGCATATTTAATTTTAATTTATCAGTACCCACCAATGGTACAGACAATAAATAAACTTTCTAAAACCGAAGGCTATAGCTAGGGACAGTTTTTTTTTCAACTTCAAGTTTGGAGATACAGTATGAGGTGAGTAAACCCAGAATAGATTTCTAAACAAAAATATGCCAGTGCTTGAGCCTGCAAGTGGACAAAACAGATCATCTTACCCGAGTGTACAACAGACAATGGTAAGTGAGAGACTGAAGATTTATTATAAACCTCAGTGCACCAAACTCTGAGAAGATGCATGCATCTAAATAACATTGTCATAGTCCAATACAGACATTAAAGTTGCAGAAACAAGCTTCTTGTATCTTGTGTGTAAAATAATCAACATTTTAAAATCACATATACAATTATTATTATTATTAATTCTTGATTATTTACATTTCTACATCTAGAATGGCAGTTTCCTGTTGGTATTTTGCCTTATTTCTCATCTTTGACTTGATGGCTATGACACTGGGCACCAACACCCACCACAATTCACCAATGGAAGTCTTCAGCGAAAACATAATAATCCCGCCCAAGCCAGAGGCATCCATACATCATCACACTCATCAAAGGACAGACAGAGGACGCAAGGAGAGGATGACAGCCGGTCAGCTCAGAGAAAGACCCCGCATTGCCATCTTCCACACCCAAAATGAAGGGCCAGACCTGGAGGGCCTCAGTCCCGTTCGCTTAGAGATGGAACCGGCAGACAAACGTCGGGTAATGACTCCTAGAAAGAAGACCTTCATGGGCTCTGATTCCTTAATTCAAGAAAAAATGAATATTTCTCCTGGTGCCGAGACTCCAGAGAAGGCGATGAGGCGTCCCACTGTTCGAAAAGTGTTTGGAGGGCACATCACTAGGGCTCCTCATGAGGAAGGTGAAAAGAAACCCTTCAAACTTTCCCAAGTAGAACTCCCTTGTAGCTGTCCTGCTATTTTTTAATTATCTGCCTGCCATTTTCTTCTCGCAGAGTCTTTGGCATCAGGGAAGAAACGGAGGGTTTCTTTTGATCAAAGGCTCAATAAAGCCTCCTTTGGGAGTCCCACAGAGCCAGTGCTTCCTGCTGCCACTGTTGGCACCTTCATATTGCCCATAACTGCAGCAGTCGATGGGAATCCAAACCCCTCAAGTGAACCGCAGGTAACCATTAGCTCGCTGTTCAGTCTTTTCAATCACACTGATTAAAAATATCTCAGCTTCTCATTTATCAGTGTCTAGAAACAGGCTTAATAAAATTGAATCCCAATGACCTACATTATGAGGAATAATAGGTTCATGCCATCAATTTAATCCACACATTTCTTGTTTATTGCCTCCAAAGCTATACAACAGACCATCATGATTTGTTCCATTACACCTAAAAGGATTAAGAAAGTGATTTATGATCATATGACAAAGTGAATTTTCATTACCCCATATAATGATATGAATACTGAATTTTATTTTTGTACCTAAGGTCAGACGTTATTTAGGTGGGGATGTGGCGCCCACTTTTAACATGGCCTTATTTGACTGGACGGATTATGAAGATATGAGGCCTGGAGATAAAAAGCAATATTCGAAAAAGCAAGGTGAACCAATATTGCACATACAATACATTTATTCATTCATTTATTCATTCATTCATTTATTCATTCATTTTCTTTCAGTTTAGTCCCTTTATTCATCAGGGGTCACCACAGAATTAACCGCCAACTTTTCCAGCATATGTTTTACGCAGTGAATGCCCTTCCAGCAGCAACCCAGTAACGGAAAACCCATAAACCCATACACTTTCGCATTCACACACATACACCACGGCCCATTTAGTTTATTCAATTGACCTATATTGCATATCTTTGGATTGTGGGGGAAAACAGAGCACCTGGAGGAAACCCATGCAAACACGGGGAGAACACGCAAACTCCACACAGAAATGCTAACTTCTTGCTGTAAAGTGACAGTGCTAATCACTGAGCCACCATGCTGTCTTAAAGTTTTAAAGGGGCACTATTATGCAAAATTCACATTTACGTTATGTCTGTTTACATGATGTCTTTTTTCTTGTGTGTAAACAATCAGGCAGTTTTGGTGAAAGTCCATCCACTTTTTATTATAACTCTCATAAATCAGAAGTAGTGTCTGAAAACACACTGTTCCAAATTTCCTCCTACTGTGATGTCACAATCCCCAATAATATATATTTTTAAACATAATTGGACAATGCATCTTAAACACACTGTTTTGGTTACTAGAATATTTACTCCTAACGTATCCCTGCTAAACAGCCACTTACTTTCATGTATTTTGGGAGATGTTGATGAAGTAAATCCAGTCACTCTAATCTCTCTAACGCAGACTAAAATGCCGGCAACCATCGCTCATCATAGATCAGAAAATATGATCATTGTTAAGCCATTTAAATGGCAAAATATGTATTCTTACACATATTTAAGAATCTATAATATAATTAGAACATTTGTCAAAATTTACAGAAAAATAGAAAAAAGAAATGAAAACTTGGACTTTGAAGTGATGCATTTATTAATAAATGGTTTTAAATGGACTGTGTCTCAAATGGCACACTATACACTATGCACTTATGCACTTACACACTCTACAGCATAGTACATGTCGTCGCAAATAGAATACTAAGGTCTTTTTTAATAAGCGGAAATTGAAACCGTTTCCCTGATGACGTTTGACGCTTGCCAAATTAGTGAAATAAATGACCAAAGTAACAAGTAATTCCTGCCATGAATATACAGTAAGCGCATTCACCTTCGGGAGGTGGTGTTATCACTCTTGTAGGAGAATTTTTCTTCCATAATCCAAAATAAATAGAGTCATCCAACATCAGCGCCTGAAAGCTCAGCCTCTTCCGCGTGAAGCGTCCATCATTCCACACTTCATTTTTTCATTTGAATAAGTGCATCATCCAGGTATTTAAAGTGCACTTATATTATTTTTAGAGTTTTTAGTGTGAATGCTGTACTTTATTTATACTACAAAATGGCGTAGAATAGTGCATAAGTATGCGATTTGGAACACACTCACAGTAAAATAATGGTCACATTAAAAACTCATGGGGGTCTATTTTATCCACTCTGCATGAGAATTTAAGGAGTATTTAAAACTAGGGTTATTATACAGATCCAACATAAGTTTGATTTCTTTCCCTGCTGCATATATTCACAGACATAACCCTGTGTTTTTTTTTGTGTGTTTTTTTTTGTGTTTCTAATATGACCTTTGTTCTTTTTTCAATTTACGCTTATAAAGGGAACTTAAGTTTAACATATACTGTCTGAGAGAAGACTTTATGATGTTTTATTCATTCATTTATTTATTCATTCATTTATTCATTCACTTTCTTTTCGGCTTAGTCCCTTTATTAATCTGGGGTCGCCTGGGCGGAATAAACCACCAACTTATCGAGCATATGTTTTACGCAGCGGATGCCCTTCCAGCTGCAGTCCATCACTGAGAAACATCCATACACACTTATTCACACACATACACTAATGACAATTTAGCTCACCCAATTCACCTATACCACATCTTTTTGGACTGTGGGGGAAACCGGAGCACCAGGAGGAAACTCACACGATCAGGGGAGAACATGCAAACTCACAGAAATACACAGAAATGCCAATTGACCCAGTCGAGACTCGAGCTAGCGACCTTCATGCTGTGAGGCGATCGTGCTACCCACTGCCCACATGTTCAGACATGTGTAATGTAAATAATGTTAAAAAAATTTAAATAAGGAGTTTAAACTAACAAGACTTTACAATGCAATGATATGAAGTGTCGTATGGGTGTAGTAGATACATATATTTTTTAAATTTTAAGTATGCTTGTTTTGAAATAGTTGCCTAAAAACTTCTCACATTAAATAAGAAAGTGATTAATACATGAACATTCTTGCATATGGCCTATATATATATATAATATATGGGTGTTTCCCAGTACTGCATTGTGGCTGGAAGGGCATCCGTTGTGTAAAAAATATGCTGGATAAGTTGGAGGTTCATTCCGCTGTAGTGACCTCTGATAAATAAGGGACTAAGCTAAAGGTAAAAGATTGAATGAATATTTTTGATTTTATTTTATTTATTTATTTTTTTTTTCTGTATACTAACAGTTGACCATTGCTGTTTCATTCCAGGTTCTGAAAAACAGGCTACACAAAGCCCAAGCACTGGACTTGTGAGACTTACATCAGAAAATAATGTCTGTAAACATCATCTGGATTGTCTGCCAGGTGATATTTTCCCCCTTTGCTTTAATAAAATTTTATTTAAAGATGTGTGGTATGAACAATGAGACTGCAGGTCTCGTAATAATTTTTGTTCATAAATTGGATAATTATTGTACATATCAATACAAATATCTTTGTTTATTAGCTTTGTTTATTAAATCTATTTTTTATAATAATATAATATAATATAATATAATATAATATAATATTCAAAATATGTTATATATATTTTAACATATTTTTTAAATTGAATACTTCTGGACAGAAGTATTAATTCTTATGTTTTAAGATCTACTTAATTTGTTATAATATAACTCATTAGTAATATTACTCATAATACTGATAAAACAAATCCAGCTGTACAGACTCATACTGACTTGAAACATTTAAATGGTATTAAAAACGATTTAATAAAAAAAATGACACCAATTTCTACTCTTCCCCTCTCAGGTTCCTGCTGCAATCTCAGAAAGCATGTGTGTGAGCTTCATAACCGTGGCTTCAATAACAAGTGCTATGACAGCTGCATGTGTGAGGAAGGTGAGTGAGTGTCTTTTGACTGATTATCACTCATGTTGACAGATTGGAGATCGTGTTTTAAACTGTTCCTTGCATTTTCACAGGACTTCGGTGCTATGCAAAATCACACAGACATTACCGCATCACCCGCAAAAAGGGACAGTGTGTTGATCCTGAGGACTTAAATCATGGCATGTTCATTATTGTTTAAATGAGAAGAATAAGTCATTTTCTTTATAAATGCATGCAATTATACACTGCCCTCAACTAATATTGGCACGCTTGGTAAAAACAAGCAAAGAAAGATGGGGAGAAAATGTTTTGCTCAAAATATTAACACAAAAAAACAAAAAATGCTTGGGTTTGATTTTAGATAAGTGTAGAGGCTTTTTACTTGGAAACCTTTCAAACAATATTGTTGATGTGGAATTGTAGTTTTGGAGACTTTTTGACCACAAGACACAACAAACATCTGCAATTCTGCAGCTGTGGGTTTTTTGGCATTTCGAACCATCCTTCTGACAAGATAAACACACATCCTCTTCTAGACTGATTCAGAGCACATCCATTTTGCGAAGCTCAACAAACTTTGCTGCAAACCACAGCTGTTCTTTGCTTTTCCCTATTGTGATGAATTTCTAAGTGAGTTTGGCCTGTGTGTTTCCTCGCATTTTTAGACGTGTGAAACAAGAGGTGGTTGAACAATTTTCTGTTCCTAGTCACAAAGGTGTACTAAGCAAATATAGAACAAAATGGCAATTATTACGCTCTCTTGTGTTGTTTTACATTCCCTGAGATTTTCGTTTATCCTCAGAACACAAATTTAGGTAAAATCTGACAACTCTTTGGCTTTTCATAGCGGTTTAAATTCAATTCAATTCAATTCAATTCAATTAATCTTTATTTAAATAACACTTTTTACAATGTAAATTCTAGTAAATTGAAACTATCAGTCCACTTTTCAGAGTTGAAGTTCGGTTTAGTTTAGTTCGGTTCAGTGTGGTTTCATTTTCACTGCTGAATGCACAAAAACTGAAGAGCAAATCCACTGATGCGCAGCTCCACAAGTCCTAAACAAAGCAAGCCAGGGGCGAAAGTGGCGAGGAACAAACTATACCAATTGACGAAAGTGAAGGGCAAAAAACATTGAGAGAAACCAGGCTGTTGGGCACGACCATTTCCTCTCTGGCCAACCGTCTTGTGCAGAGCTGCATTCTAGGCTCCAGAGGCTGAAGAACCCTGGATGTTCAATGTGGAGAGGCTGTAGGTGTGAGTAGGTCACAAGTGGGTGTTTAGACTGGCCCACGGGATCAGTGCGGAGATTCGTCTGTCACTTCTCCATGACCACCACAGCATCTGCTCAGGATACGGCATTGTCCAGGATTATGGAAACCTCTGGAATAATGAAAAACAGACTTTTGGGAAGTGTTCCCGGCTCCAGTTGCCCTACATCCATACAAAGCTATAAGAACCCATTTATACAAAAAAAGGTTTTTGCAATGCATTGTTTTTGTATTAGATCAGAGCGCATGTTTACTATGGGCAAAACAGCACTGGGTTAACCCTTTGAAGGGCTTAGGGCATAAGGATGAGCCCTTCTGAATGTAAAATGCTGTTTTACACCAAACAACTTCACTGCACTGTTGTTGCTTGTTTTTCTGCCCTTAAGTTTGAATGTTTCACGACCCATACTGTCTATAAAAGGTCAGAGAGCTCTCTGATTTCATCTAAAATACCTTCATTTCTGTTGTGAAGATGAATGGAGGTCTCAGAGGATTATAAGGACATAAGGGTGACTAATTAATCCCAGATTTGTCATTTTTGGGTTAATTAACCCTTTAAAAAGTTAAATGGTAAAAGCATCTTTTCACCCCTTCATTGCTTATATTTACCAACGTTGCCAATATTAGTAATTAATACTCTATTTTTCACTGTTTTAGAATTTTGTATTCATCCTCATCAACATTCCTGATTGTTTTCTTGAATATTTCTTTTTCTTAAATTTGTAAAACATTTGCAACGATATTCTGAAAATGCTGATTACATATCTGCAGGAAAACATATTATTTATGCCTGCAATTTCAGTTCATTTAAATCAATAAAAAAATGAGCTGTAATGTGTTATGAACCTTGTGATATGAAGATTAAATGTTTCATTTGTAACAAATATACTGAAAGTTATTGCATGTAGGTCATTTGTAATTTGTATTCAGAGTTGAGTTACATGGCTCTGTTGTTGTTCTCCCAGTGAAACAGCAGTCAGCAGATGGATGCAGATGTAAAGACGGTCTTTTTAATGTTGCGACTGTACTGTCTGCCAGTGTCCAGCCAGATGAGCGGCTTTGTAATGGACACACAAAGAAGTACACAAGGGAGATGTCCATCTGACATTATTAAACCATTAAATCTTTATTTTGGCTCATATCTGAATTACTCTAAACACTTTGTAGTATGCTGGAATTATGCTTCTTATCACACTCAATGAGAGCCATCATTCTGTGTTATAGGACAAATATTGTGCTTGTCTTATTTTAGTGCTTTGCTGTCCCGAATATACGTTACAGCTGTAATATTATTTTTAAAATAGTTTATTTTATTGTGTGTGCATGGGTTGCAAAATAAAAATAGGATCCTGTTTGACAAATTTTGACTGATCAATAACTTAATTTGTAGATTTTAATTGTACAGTCATTATTTGAATGAGTAAAACTGCAATTATTTATATGAAAAATGCAATAATGAATTAAAATAATATAAAATGTTGGTTAGGATGATGAGAATGATGATAAGCAAATCATAATAAGGAAAATAGCAAGTAAACACGATATGCCCATATGTATTGAGAATTCAAATGGGTTATATTTTTATGGACTTTTTAAAAATATATTATAAATAATAATATGCATAAGGATAATAATTATTGGTATTATCATCAGAATTTTAAATAAATTTGTATTTTTATTTTATAATTACGTATAGACCTTCTAGATTTTTTAAATTCACATCAGAATAAAATAAATGCATTTTTAATTGGCAAAAACCGATACAGGAACAGAGGGATGAAACAGGTACATCTCTTACAAGTGTAATAATATAATACAGAGAAAATTTAACAACAACCACAACAAAACAAACAAAAAATGACTTTTTTATTATTAGAAATACAAAATCCAAATACAAAAAATGACATTCAACTTTATAAATTATGTATCAAATATGGAAGGCTCAACACAAGAGCACAGAATTGTCCAAAAAATCAAATAAATTATATACAAAATTATTATTATAAATTAAAATTATATAATATAAATAAATATTTTTAAGGCATTTTTTGTTTTCACTTTAGCCAAGGCATCTGAAAGGGTTTTTGGTTCTTTTATAAAGACAATGAGTAGTGGAGGGGTTTGAAATATCTGCATTTATGAATAAAATATTTGGCTAATGCAATGATAATATTTATTAAATTTTGCACAAGTGGCATAGTGAATTTTCAAAATTGCAATTTAAGTGTAAAAGTCTATTGAAAGGGTATATATAATGTAATATTTTAAAATGTTTTTCTTTTGCCTTAAGGAGAATTGAAAATTTGAGATATGCCATTCTATAATGTTATGATATAATTATTTTTTAAATACTTGACAGGGGATGTGGGTTTGTATGAATGAAATTGCACAAATCGAGTTATGACGTCATCAATACACAAAACAGGAAAAAAGCAAAAGGGATTATATAGCTTACTGAGGGATGTAAACAGTAACACTGTTTTACATTTTTAATTTCCATATTTTCTGAGAATCCAGAAAAGCCCACATATTGATAAATAATGTTATGACAGCTGTTTTAATATAAAGTGATTGAATCGCCTCTTGTTACAGTAATGAAATAGTTTAATAACAAGCTGGAAATGTCCATGGGCCAATGACATCACATCATAGAAATTGTCTGTAAAAAGATTGCCATAATGGATCAAACATTTGGCACTTTTTTTGTTATTTGTAAAAGATGAAACACGTCAAATTGAGCAGGAAAAAGGGGGAAATTAAAGGAGATTTACACCATTTTTCATATCAATAAAAATAATTTTGCATTATATAAGAAAATTAACAATGTATTTAAAAACGTATGTTAAAAACATTAAGTATTTAGGGATATTAAAAAAACAAATATATTTGAGGACAAAACTGTGGTCCCATTTGTAAACTTAACGTAAGAGCTCAGTTCAACCCAATAAATGAATGCATATCTACAGTTTACTGAGCGTGGAAACGCTGTCAAACCAATTAATAAGCAAGTTAGCGTGAGCTCTGAAGCCACGCGAGATTTCGCGGCGAGATCTGGCTGTTTTCAACATGGCAGGCAGCAAGTTGGTGCTAGAAGGGAGGATCAGTATTATTAGCTTTATCTCAGGACTAGCCGTCATCATAATACCTTTACTTGTCAAATTCGGCTCTCACGTTGACTGGATATTCGATTACCTCACAGACGTGAACGGCAAAATAGCCATCGCGGCGTATATCACAGTTATCAATGGCTTCCTGCTAATCATATACAAGGGACCTTTATACAAGGTAAGACTCAAGAGAGACTGTCTGGAAGATGTGTGTTAGGCAAATAAAACTACCATAGTCTAACCGAAACACATATAAATAATTAAAATGAATAAAGAAATATGTAGCTGTGTAACGTTAGTTTCAAAGTGTCCAGGACTGTAGAAGTGTCCTGTGTGCAGGTGTAATCCTATTATCAGCACTCTAATGGGATCTCCTAAGGGTTTCTCTGTCAATATCAATAAGCTCTACAAGAAGACAAGAAGAAGTATGTGGGTTTGCAGCATCAGGATCTGACTAACTAAATCTTGCTTTATATCTTTAGGTGGCTGTTCGAGCCTGCTTTCTTGGATTTACCTTTGGATGTGGTCTCACTTTAAGTTTTGCAGATACAACATGGACACACTTTGGCTGGTAAATACGTTTTTGTTAAGAATTAAATTATATTTGAAGACTTTAACTACAAACAACTACAACAACTTTTAAGGGATAGGTCACCGAAAAATGAAAATGTACCATTTACTCTCTCTCTCTCTCTTTTACTCTCTCTCTCTTTTACTCTCTCTCTCTCTCTCTCTCTCTCTCTCTCTCTCTCTCTCTCTCTCTCTCTCTCTCTCTCTCTCTCTCTCTCTCTCTCTCTCTATCTCTCTCTCTCTCTCTCTCTCTCTCTCTCTCTCGAGTGGTTCCAAATGAATTCCTTTATTCTTTTGGACACTAAAGAGAGAATTTTGGGCATCTGTAATCATTGACTTTCATAGTGGGAAAACAAATACTATGGAAGTCAATGGTTACAGGTTTCAACCTTCTTCAAAATGTCATATTTTGTGGTGAACTCAAACAAGTAAAGGGTGGGTAAATGATGACAGATTTTTAGTTTTGGTTGAACTATCCCTTTAGGTTTATATGGCTTTTTTCCCCCTTTTTTAATCAGGCATTTCCTGAAATATCCTATGTTTATTTTAGTTGTATGGCAATGAAAATGTTATAGTCAATGTCATCTCTAAGAATTTCTTATTTTCATCCTATTAAAGTGAAAGTTTTGAACCTAAATCCACCTGAATAATTGAGTCTCAGACTCCACTATCTGATGTCAAACCTGATATTCTTTTTTTATATTTTATGTTTACTATTTATGTTTTTATTATCTTTAGAGTTATATTTATTGTATTTATCATGTATTCTGAGATTGCCTTTAAGAGTAACAGAATCTGAACATATAAATTTTATAAAAATGCTCTCATTAAAAAAAAATCCCATGAACTTTATTTGTTACAAAACAAGAATGTGTGGTGTGGATGTGATTTGTCTTATGCTATCTGGTTCTGACTCCTGTTTCGTTCCACTAGGTATATGTGTTCACTGTCCTTTTTTCACTACTCGGAGTACCTGGTTACCGCTATCATCAACCCACGCAGTCTGTCACTAGACTCTTTCCTGCTCAACCACAGTGTTGAGTACACATTAGCAGCTGTTTCCTCCTGGCTGGAGTTCACTGTAGAAAAGCTTCTCGTTCCAGGTTTGTTATGCAGACAGGTTTAATGATCTACTGACTCGGTTTAAGTTTGCTTTGGTAAAGCCTATAGATTGTTTTTGAACTTAGCATTATGAAAAAACACTATTATAAACAATATTAAGATGTCATAATACATCTGGGTCTGTTTTGAAGCAGAGGAGATGTTTTGGAATTAAAGTGTAGTTTTTAATTAAAAAAAAAAGATAATTTAGAAAAAAAAAGATTTTTACATGTACCCAATAAAAAAAACTGAATTGGTCATTTAAGACACTTTTATGCATGGAGCATCATAAGTTGTAAAAATACCTTTGGTAAAATTATCAATGAATAAAGTTATATATCATGTTTTATTAGTGTCAGTTTAAAGTTATGTAAATATATTTATACCACACAGTTTTGGAATGAATTTTGTTTATAAATGTTTGCAAAGGGGAAAAATGTTTCCTTGTAAAGTAATGATTCTTTAGTTCCAATTTGAGCTGGGATTTTATGATATTATACAGATTTTTGAATGCATTATAAGAATTAAACATTTAGTTTGAAAAATATTGAAATGTATTTATTGAAATTAAAAGTTCATTCCCCTGCTTGTTTTTGAATAATGAACATTTAAGGAAGATTTAATACAGGTGAACTGACTCTATTTTTTTCCCCATCAGAGATAAAGCAGTTGAACTGGCTATGTTTAGTCGGTCTGGTGATGGTTATGTGTGGGGAGGGTCTGCGCAAAGCGGCCATGTTGACGGCAGGGTCAAACTTCAACCATATAGTGCAGAATGAGAAGGCCCAGAGCCACGTACTGGTCACCACTGGGGTTTACGCTCTCTTCAGACATCCTTCCTATGTGGGTTGGTTTTACTGGAGCATCGGCACTCAGGTACATTTTCAATTAAGCAACCAATTCTAATGCTTTCTAATTTTGTTGGACATTTCATGGACCAAAAACATTTTAAAGTCCCTAGGAATCACAACTAACTGTATGATTTTGTTAGCGCACATAGCTAGGTTTGTGGTGAATTATTCATCAGTGCATGTCATTAAGAAAAATGTTTGCCCTTATAATAATCTTTAATTGAAATCTGAAAATGCAGTTCCTATTTGTTTTCAGTTAAATTATCAGATTACAAGATTTTGAGGTAATGGGCATGACTAACATACTTATCCATTCTGGTTCAACTGTCAGTTTTGACAAAAAAAAAAAAAACTGAAATAATAAGCAGGAGGGTTCTGTTATGTTGTAATAACTTCTAAAACCCCTTTCCCGATCTTTCTGAATGAAATGCCTACTTTACTACACCTATTCAGCCCACGGTAGAAAAAACAAGCCACGCCCACTGTTTGCTCATTTAATATTCTGTTTCTCTTGGAACTGCATCACAATACAGAAAAAAATAACGATCACAGCTTCCAGTTCATTGAGACTTTAAATTTACCAAAATATAGATTGCAGCTCATTTCTTTCTTTCCAAAGCCCGCCTTTGAGTAGAGACCCTAATCTACTAGGTTCTGATTGGTCAGATGACCCAGTCTGTTTTGATTGGTCTATCACTTAAAGGGATAAAAAAAACAGAACTGTAAATTCTGTCGTGATTTACTCTTCATTCACTTGTCACAAACTTGATTGAGTTTCTTTCTTCCTTAAAACGCAAGAGAAGGTATTTTGAAAAATGCTGAATACCTGTATCCCATGACTTCCATATTATTTGTTTGACTATGGAGTCAATATATACAGGTTTATAACGTTTATATAACTGTTTGTTCAACAGAAAAAAAGGAACTCATAAAGGTTTGGAAACACTTGAGTAAAGGTTGAGTAAATTTTTATTTTTGGGTGTACTGTCCCTTAAAAGAGTACAAAAAATAAAAGTTTTTAAATCTGAATTTGAGCTTTAGAGGCTACCTAAATACTGTGATATAAAGGGTTAATCATGGGATTGGCTTTACCATATCAGTTTAAGTGCTCATCCTTTGGAAGGGCGGGCAATACAAAGTGTGATACAAAAAAACAGCATTCTTGACATGTCGACAACACAAAGGAAACTTGTCCAAGCCTCAGCTATAACTACACTGTAAACGTGACAAAATGGATGTTGTTTGCTGACAGAATGGAGACCATAGGATGGTATTAGCTCATTTGTTTAGGCTTGTGCTGGGAATGCACATTTCAGTTAATTTTGCCAATGACAATAACTGATCATTAACCGAATATGAACGGTTAACGGGTCAGATTAATATAAAATTATTATTAAATGTAAAAAATAATTGACGTGTCTATTCTGTGTGACACATTAAATATTGCATTTTAAAATACTGATCAACAGAGCATATTCCAATCATCTTTTTTTCCGTCAAATAAAAATAGCTGGTTACCTCAAATCATTCATTCTGTAAAATATGCATGCTATTTTATATGCATAAAATAGTCCTGCCCAAGATATTTTCTAAACAACAAGTTTAGATTACAAAACGAAAACACTGACTGAATGCTTTTTAAGAACCAGCACATGCTGTTTGTCCAAACATGTTTTTTTTTTCTTCTGTCAAATAAAAATAGCAGGCTATCTCAAATCAATCAATGTATCTCAAATCAATCGCTCCACGTAAAATAAACAGAAACCCTGCCTCTGCTTTCATTTGATTGAAGAATGAAAAAGATGCAACTGACGTAATACGCTTTTTCTGCTCAGAGCTGACTTTCTTTCAACTGCGAGCACATAGCACGCAATGGCAGAAAACATGAGGTGCGCAGGACGCTGCAAAACGCTCCGGCTGTTACTAAACCATTCAAAAGATGCCCCTCTTGCACAAAGTGCATTCGCTGTGCTTGGCCAAAGATGCAGCCAAACTTTAAAAATATGTATGATAATATTTTTAATCATTTAACCGATCCCTTTAATCGATTAAAAATGCATCCTTTAGGTTAACGGTTAATTAATTATTATGAGCATCCCTAATTTGCATACATGTTTTATAAGCTGTAAAATGAAAGCCTCAGTTTGGTGCGAAGTTATCATTATGCACAAATCAAGAAAATCTTTTAATTTCTTCTATTCGTAGATTAGCTATGTAAGCTATTTTAAAAATTGATAATTTGTTAGAACTATTAATAACTGCAATTTTCCAAATGGAAAAAAGGTTGGTTTGTAGGTTGTACACTAAATCATCCATAGCCTATTTGCTGAGATTATGACGCAGATCCAGGACAGAGGCAATCAGCATCAGTGCTGGTTTGGCATCAACTCATCTGTGTCAAACTGTGACCAGCAATATCCTTCTTTCATTTTGCTTCTTTGGCAAAATACGTCTGTACTAGGCACATGTGGTTGCACGTGCCAACTTAAAATATATGATACCATTAAATGATACCATTAATCAGTTAAAAAAGCACACCCTTTCAGTTAACGGTTATTTTGAGCGTCCCTAATTTGTGCATGAAGAATGGAATAATTGATTATTTATTTTAGGCATTTCATAAACAGGTCTTCTTTTTGGGAGGCAAAATATTTTTGAACACTTTGAGCGTTCGGTTGGTAGTCTAGATGATATGTCAACGTTCTCGTGGTGTTAAACCTGTACTCTTGCAAATCCCTGTTCCTCAGATAATGCTGTGCAACCCAATATGTATACTGGGATATACAGTCGCCAGCTGGCGGTTCTTTCGGGAGCGTATCGAGGAAGAGGAGATCTCACTCATCCATTTCTTTGGAGAGGACTACATAGAGTACAAGAAGAAGGTCTTCACTGGCTTGCCCTTCATCTCAGGGATCAGGGTTAATTCCTAAAGCTGTGCTGCATTGTGTGGAGGAAATAGCCTGAAAGTGCACACCCGGACACTTCTGACTGGCACTCTGAGCGAGCTGCTTGCCTGGTGGCATCATGGTGCGGCCCCTGAGGCGGCACAGATAAATGAGGTGGCAGCACAGTAAAACTGACCCGCTGTTCTGCTCTGAAACGCATTGGTCTGCTCTGAGCATAGTGGAGCTTCCATCACCAACATCATCAGAGATACAAGCATTTTCAGCATTCAGCAGTCTTTTTCCTACTTCATCATATTTCTGTTCTGTCTCTTTTACAATCCATTCATAATTCAGATATCCTCATATTTATAGTCATTGCATCATAAAATTTCATACATTGTTTTTGCTTTTGTTTTTTTATCCTCAGATTTTGTGGTTAGAAACCTTAGAGGTTTCATTCAGGATATTGGTTGCTTATAAATGTCCAGAGATTTTTAGTAGATTTTTATTTTTAATTCCTTGAAGACTTCAGAAAAGCTTTAAATTGGACCTTGCTATGGCAACTTAGACAGCAATTCGGTGTAAAAATGAGTTTAATGTGTCAGAGAGTTTTTTTATATTTCACTTATTCTGTCAGTCACAACAGACCTACAAATCTGAAAACTGATTTCAGACAATCTCTAAATATCTGTAATTTGTAAATACTGTTTGACAATTTTAATACAATTATTAAAGAAATAAACATGTATAAGTTACAGCTTTAATTCTTCTGTTGAATTTCCTTGTTCCCATTGGTCTTTAAAGTCCTTCTGTTATGTTTCTTTGCATCTGACTCCATCCGTCTTTACCCCCACTCTCACTCATTACCATATCTTTTTCACTTTCCCTCACACTTGCATGATATTTCAAGAAGAAAAATTTGTTGTCTGGAAAGTGGGATTCAGAGGGCTGAACGGTGGAGGGTTTGCTGTATCCAAAGTCGTTCTCTTTCCAATTTGACATTTCTGGGAGGAAGGCTCTACTCCCCTCCTGGCATGATGTAGCTTATATCGACATTGGGTAAAGAAGAGAAATTCCTTGCACACTTTCAACCAATGATGAGCACTATAATATATGCGTACAGGTAATGGACATTTGAACACATGCAATAGGTTTTTATGATGTAAGAGTTGCACTGCGTGCGAAAAGCTGATGGGAGAGGACCATCCTACCTCTTGAATGACAACTGTACCACTTACATTATTAACATCTTCAGCAAAATGTAACAAACCTTTAAAATAAACACTGAGTCTGATGTTTATTTAACGTTACTGTGGTTTTCTGAAATGCAACCATTGCAAACTATACAGTCTGACCAAAAAAAGTCATTATGAAATTCTTCTATAAATGGATCTTTGTTGCAGTGATTAGTTAGTCTTTGGCAGCTATTATTTTGGGGTTAATTCATGCACTATGTGGGGGGTTTTATGTCTTTACAATGATGGTAAATGTATCCTATGGATTGGATTATTGCAAGTCTGCTTCATTTTCACACATGATTTGGCCTCATTGGCCAGCAACATGTATTTGAGATGTGCTGGAGTAGAATTTACAAAGTTAAAACAGACAGTTGTGGAAAAAGTAACATTACTTGCACAAAAATGTAGTGCAAGTTGAGTAAGAATCTGTTGTAAATATTATTCAAAGTATGAGTAAAAGGTAGCCCTTTCAAATTTACTCAAGTGTAGTGAGCCTTACACTGTGAAAAGCTGATGCATTTACATGCAATTTGTGGATGTGTGTGTAAACATTCTGTAGTGCATTTAGTTATTGTTTAAGGCCATAACAGTCATCATACAGTAAACATCCATCATCTTCTCATCAGTGACATGCATCTAAACAGTCTCTGGGTGTAAACTGTAAAGATTTTGGACATGTTCTTGGACACTTTTAATATTTCCAAACAGTTTGCTGCAATTATAAATCACCCACATCATGCGGTTGTTCAGTATGGTGCAATTTACTTTCTCTGTGTGATTTGATTGGACAGGAATCGCAGGACTGATTTTTTTATCTTCATAGACAGGAAAAAATAGTAGTGACTGCAGGAGGAAGAAAAATAGTGGAGTAAAAGTACTGTTACAGCACTAAAAATGTACTCAAGAGGAAGTAAAAGTGCACGTTGTTAAAACTACTTAGTAATTTACAATTCTTAAGAAAAATCTTCTCAATTACAGTAGTTTGACTATTTATAATTTGTTACTTCACACCACTGATATCAGACAGTAGACATGCTTCCGGTTTATTAGAACAAGGTCTACAATATCTTTGGCAAAATAAATGCTAATTTTGATAGAAATACACTTAGTGACATTACATAACATTAGGCTGTCTAACATAGTTTGACAAAACACATACTGTAAAATTAAATCTACAGATCTCAGAGCTGAGCCACTGTGAATCATGCTAAACTCAGTCGTGGAAGTTTTTTTTTGGCCTCGGCAGTGTAGGTCTTTCAAACTGGTGTATTAGATTTTTTTTTGTGGTTACAATTGTCAAAGCTGACATATCACATTGGAATCTCTTTGCGATTGGTTGAATCTGTGGTGTTCTTTTGCTTGTTTGTCCTGTAGTAATCCTTGTTTTTAGGATTGGTCTCTTCTGATAGGCTGTTTAGAGTCCAGTTGTCTTCAGTGTTGCAGGATAGCTCATTACTGTAATTATGACACATGGAATAGCTTTTATTATCTAATAATTAACAGCTTTTCCCTCTAATGTGTCTACATAAGAGCGTGATATGCTTTTAACATACTGATGTGGACTCACCTTGGCTGTGTGTCAGCTGTAGACGTGCTGTCCTCATAGAGCTTCAACATGATCTCTGTGCGATCATCCTTGAGTTCTTTAGGCTCCTTCAGCCTGTTGAAGATAAAATTTGCACACACACAAAAAACATTCAATACACTAGAAATGTGAAGCCAAAGTCCCTGGATTATGAAACAGATGGTGGCAACTGGAACCTAAAATCCTGCAAGCGCAACTGCAAATATGCATAAAATAATTAACCTCTTTAAAAAAAACACTTAAACAACAGCGTGATAGGAACGAAAAATGACAAGTTGAATTCATAACAATACTCAAGCCTGCCACCGGGTGGCAATAATGTTTAGCTTCACTTTTAAAGGCTCACTTGATTTATATTGCTCTAATGTAAAACGTATAAATCCATGAAACTTTATAAGCCATGAAACTTATAAATCAAGCTCTCTAGTACCTTGGCTCCAGACGTTCCTTCACTTTTGCTATAGAGCGGATGTAGGGACCTATTTGTCGGGAGATTGTTGTCAAATAGGAATTCTCCTGTTTTAACTGAAGCAGATCATGAAGTTGCGCTAAAAAAAGAATCATTGAACTGTTAACTTTGATATAACAACACAACTAGAGTGAAGCGCTTACCGAGTAAAATAGTGTTTACCTTCATAAATCTCCTGTTCATTTGCCACTCTCTGTAAAGTCTCCTCCCAGATCTAGGAACAAAAATGATGACATTTCGAATCCGATTGTACCTCTTTCTAATGTTGATTGAAAGCACTGGGATCTCACCTCCTCGAACATGGCCCGCATGAGCTCCACTGAAGCATACTCGGAGGAGATCTGACTGTCCACCTGTACTGACTTCTCCAAAATCTCACTCATGCTGTCAGGTTTGGTGAGGGAGTGGTGCTTGGTCAGGTCTCTGTGAATCTCCTGCACCTGGTCTTTCAGCTTCTGGATCTCTGTCTGTAAAGTCTGATTAAACAGACAATAAGAGTTTGTCAGTTCCAGTATATTTAAAGCATATTATGTCTAAATATGCTTTGAGAGGCTTGGCTTCATGTGTGCTGGGCTTTCAACTGCACAAATATCTAATTATCTAATCGCATAGCAACGGATGGGATTACCCTCCCTTACAAAAATATATATTTTTAAAGAATACTGCAGTTTTTAAAGAAATATTGCAATAATAGTTAACTTCTGAAAAGTTAATTTTTTTTTTTTGAGATGAAAAATAAAACAGTTATTTAAATATATTGCTGTATTACTGGTATACAACTGAAGTACTGTACTACTACAGTATAAATGCAGTACAACTACTGCAGTGATACTACTACTAATTCAATACATCTACTGCAATGGTACTGAAGTACTACAACTACTATAATGCAGTACTGCTACTGCAATACAGAAGCACCACTACAGTACAACCACCATACCACTATTATAATACAACTGCAGTACAACTACTACTTTTCCTGCTCAGTGTACAAGGGTTTCCAACTGAGGTTTCAGTTCTTCAGTTGTATTGCTGATGTACAGTATATTGTATTGCACTTTACAGAAGTATAACTAACAACAGAAATACATCTACAATACTGCCGGTAATAATAAAGCTAAAGTGCACTTTTAATACTTATGTACCTTTAGTGCAATACATTATATAACATGTCACTACATTGCCCCTCAGTTACTTCAGATGTACTGCAGATTTTACTGCTGTTGAACTTTATTGGATTGTAGTTGAACTGTTTAAACCTCATTTTACTGCAATTTTGCAGTTGCATTGTATTTTAACAGCTACTGTTGTTGTACTGTTCAGTTCACTGCATTCGGTATTGCAATTAAACTCTTAAAATTCCAATTAGAAAATTACTTAATCCAAAAAACATCCCTGAAAAAAGTACAAAGGATATTTGGAAGATGTTGTAGAACAAACCCCTTGGAACACAAGTGCAGTACAGTTATTACCACACTATTGGCATGTTAGACTACAGCAGCACAAGTTTACTTGTTTCTACTGCAGTTTCCTGCAACTTATACTGCGGTTGAACTTTATTGTACTGTATTTTAACTGTGCTTACAGTATACTTCATTGTATTGAAATTTTGCAATTGTACTTAATTTTACTGCAGTTATACTTTTATATCCTACGGTTGAACTGCAGTTATTCTTCCGTTTGCTGCAGTTATTTTTTCTAAATGCCTAGGCACAGGGTCAAAAATCTTTTGCCTTTGGAAGTACAGAGATAAAATCTGTATGCTCCGATTCAAAAAGGTCAGAAATCCTCAGAAAATTTTGGAAAGATTCCTCAGGAATCTTGATTAGATTTGTCACCTTCACATGCATGATATTAATCTCCCGTTCCTCCACATCTTAAAGGTGATCTACAAGATTGAGTTCTGAAGGTTGTGAAAGCTATTATAAAGTTGGTACACTGTAAAACTAAAAAAGTTAAGGTAACTCAAACCGTTTGAGGGAACAGATTACAACAAACCATTTAAGATCAAAAACTAATCCTAATGAGTACTGTGAACTTGATCCATTTGAGTAAATGAAGCACTTTCAGCACAGTAAACCCCAATAAATGAAGAGAACTCAAGCCAACCGAGTATTGTAAAACACAATGAGTTAAGGCAACTCAAACCGTTTGAGGAAACAGATAGCAACAAACAACTGTGAACTTCTATTTAGGTTGAAGTAATGAGGTATTTAATTAACTCATTACCTTCAACAATGAGTTCAAAACTATTTTAAAATGAATAGAATTAACTTTTAGGAAATTGAGTTAACTACACTCATTTCATTTGATAAAGAGGAGTGAGCAACCAGTATCTGTACCCTCTTCTGCTGCTGCTGTAGCTCACCTGCTTCAAGGTTTGTGAATTTTTCTGCAGAGTTATGTTGTTTATTTACTGTTATCTTTAATATCAGCTTGATCCAGTCTGCTTGTTTTTCCATGTGTCCATGTGTTGGTTGTGTGTGAAAATCCCAGTAGATTAACAAGATACGCAAGACACCAAAATATGACGTGAGCTCATTAGTTAAAGTCATCATGAAACAGAAGTTAAGATTGTCCTTTTATTCCCTTTTTTGACGTACAACCGCTTCCTTTTTTGTATATTTTTAACTTAAATAATCTGAAGAGTTACTAATTAATGACAATACTGCTAATCCTGAACAGGAAACAAGCCACTTTCTGTGGTTTCTGACACATTTCTGTAGTGCTCTGTGCTATTTGTAGTGTGTTGTGAAAAGTTGCGTACGTGTGTATTGTCAAAATGATGAACTAGTTGTTTTTTTCAGTTTGGTAGTGTTTTGTGAGCTCTCTCTGCCACAAAACACCAACAACCATAGTCTCCTAAATCACACTTGTTCATTCTGAGTTTAAACTTAAGCAGATTGTCTTGACCACATGTACTGAGGCCCTTTGAGGTAAACGGCTAAAAATAACACAATGGAGTGTATGAGTAACACTTACCCTGTAGCTGTTCTCATAGTTGCAGCAGTGCTCCATAAACGGCGTCTCTCCACCCTTGGCCAGCAAAACCTTGGTGCTGATGTAGCGGTGTGAGGTCGGCCTGCGCACCACCGATGAGCACAGCGACATGTCACTCATAGCAGGAGAGTGACACTGCACTGAAAGAGATGACTGCATCCTGAGGGAAGAAGAGCATTTCTTTAGTTGAATCTATTTATTTGATATGGACATCACACTTACACTGGACAAACTGTATACATTTTGTTTAACTGTTATAAGAGCTAATTTTTATCACCTGTCAAAGGGAGGCTTGTTTTTTTAAGACATAAAAAACACATTATTTAAAAAGCATAAAACAAAATTATATATATTTTCAAAAACCTATATACAGTTGAAGTCAGAATTATTAGCCTCCCTGAATTATTAGCCCCCGTTTATTTTTTTTTCCCACAATTTCTGTTTAACGGAGAGAAGATTTTTTCAACACATTTCTTATCATAATAGTTTTAATAACTCATTTCTAATAACTGACTTATTTTATCTTTGCCATGATTACAGTAAATATTATTTGACTAGATATTCTTCAAGATACTTCTATACAGTTTAAAACGACATTTAAAGGCTTAACTATGTTAATAAGGGTAATTAGGCAGATTAGGGTAATTAGGCAAGTTATTTTATAATGATGATTTTTTTCTGTAGACTATCGAAAAATATATAGCTTCAAGAGGCTTATAATTTTGACCTTAAAATAGTTGTTTAAAAAAAAAAATTAAAATGGTAAAAATTAAAAACTGCTGTTATTCTAGCCGAAATAAAACAAATAAAACTTTCTCCAGAAGAAAAAATATGATCAGACATGCTGTGAAAATTTCCTTGCTCTGTTAAATGTCGTTTGGGAAATTTTTTAAAAATAAAGAAAACTCAAAGGGGGGGGCTAATAAATCTGACTTCAACTGTACATACACAAAATTATAATTCTTCTTGTACAAAAGCTATAAGGCAACCAAACAATAAGCTAACAATATACTATTTAAAATTAAACTAATAATGGGCTATTTAAATGTTCATTTAAAAAGTTTAATTTTGTTAATGCACATTTTTAGTGAAAAACAGTAAAAAAATAAATTGGTAGTATTAATTAGTGTATTTACTAACGTGAACAAACAATTAGCAATATGTTTGTTACGGTATTAATTTCTCTTTGTTAATGTTAGTTAATGCTATTTGAGTAAAAAAGCGTTAGTTCAAGTTAAATCATTAACGTTAACAAGCACCACTTTGGATTTTAATAATGCATTAGTAAATGCTGAACTATGAATAAGTCATGCTTTACAAGATTATTCATACTTGGATAAATCGTCACCTTAGAATAATAAGGTTCTGAAATTTTTGTCAAACTTGAGTTATTGACATATTCTTATTAAATGACAACTTATTTACATTATGGGATGTTGTTTACATTTTAAGACTTCTTATTTTAAAAAACAAATGCTACACACATACTGTTTGCTATGGAATGCAAAAACTTTAAAGCTCAATATCTCAAAATCATTCTGAACGCAGATAGAACCTTTAAATTCCAAGGTGACAAAATGAATTGTTATGCTAAAGGGCTACTAAAAGAACACTAGTAACTTCTACCAAGACTCACAGTCCACTGGCATTTCCCAAAGCTAAAGCCACGCTCCCTGTGGTAGACATTGAGCGCCGTTGACCCAACAGCAGCAGCGGCTCTAGGCAGCGAGCAAATTCAGAGCGATACTCTGTGTTGATCTGTGTGGATGGAGTATAGCAGATGTAACTTATGTATGGGCATGTTTAACATATAGGAATTTAGTAAACTAACCTTACTGCTCTGTGTTGGTCTCAACCTGTGTGGTAGTTTCACAATCTTCTTTAGTCTCTCCATTAATTGCTTTGTGAGGTAAATCAATCAATTAATCATTCAGTATTATCCATTCAAAAATGCCAATTAGATTTATGCACAAAAATGGAATATTGCTTAAAAGACAGTTCTGGAAGGTAATTATACTGAACTACTTTAATGACTTTGGCTAAGGGCTTTTAGAATGACCACAACAACAAGTCAGGTATTTTACAATGTGGTCTGTCTGCTGGTTTGTCCATTAATGTTGTAATTAAGAAAAAAAGCCCACAATGGCTTCTCCTATTGCAGCAACTTCCATTTTTACATTTACATAAAATCATTTTACAATGTCATTTAGCAGATGCTTTTGTCCAATGCAATTTTCAGTTGATGAGGCATTCAGCGATTCAACAAGTATAGGCAATACACACAAGAAGTGCTAGTTATACAAAGTAACTTGTGTGTGCTCAGACTATTTAGTGCTAGAGTAAGAGTGCTCTTTTTTTTAAGAGATAGGGAGGGAGAGAGAAAGTGCTTCTACAAGGTGGTCTTAGTTCTATTCACTGGGGTTAAGGTGCTCTCGGATGACATGGGTTTTTAGTTGTTGTTTGATGGATTCCAGTGAATCTGCAATCTGTGTTGAAATGGGAAGATTATTCCAACAGTGGCGAACATTGAATAAAAAGGTTTTGGAAAGTGACTTATGGCTTTTCTGCAATGGTACCAAAGTTTTCTTTAGCCAGTGTATCAGAAAGTGACGATTTCGACTTTGATAAAAACTGAGAACTATTCGCAAATGTTTTATGCAATATTCCAGGTTTGTGCATATAAGTCTAATTCACATATTTGGCATAACTAATGAGTCTATCGATGCAATAGATTCGGATTGCAGTTTGTACTCACATATCCCATGTCTAAGAACTCAAACTTATTTGCTGAGCTTAGGAAGGCAGAGCATGTAACAAGATGAACCTGTAGAAAAAAACAAACAAACAAAAAAAATGTGTCTGGAAGCAAGCGAGAATAAATGAAAAGCTAATATTTATGGAGACATGGAGGAAATGTATTTACCTGGAGAGTTGGCAGGAGTGCAGCAAGATGAGATAATTGCTCTTTAAAGGTTCTCTCCTTCTCTTCATGCTGACTAAAAAATAGTTATGAAATGTATAAATAAATAGCTATATTTGTATTATTACATTTTTGGAGCATAATTCTGACAATTGTCCAATCCTGACAATTATGGTTGACAGGTAATAAAAGACAGATATTAAAATGTTAAAATTACATTATCAGACCCACTTTATATTAATATACTATGTACTCTATGCAAACGTTTAAAAATATATTTAATTTTTGTAAATCATTTTAGAAATGTTTTTATATACTGTAGATACATGTACTTTCAGTACCTTTTATGTAGGCCCACATGGAATATGAGCACGCAGAAATCTGCAGATTTATGCAGATATTTCTGCAAATAAGTGGACCTTATTGGATGTGCATTGTAAACATTAAATACAATTTATTTCATATATTAAGTTTTTAGTTATGATACCCCCAAAATCATTCTGCATAAATCCCCCCTACTTATATGTGATAATACCTTACACTATTATTGTAAATATATTACACGGTGGCCGCTGTGTCTTAAAATGTCTAAATTCTAAATTTTAGGCTTTAAAAAGTCTTAAAGTCCTTGACATATTGTGTTGTAGGTCTTAAATCGTTTTAAACAGATCTTAATTTTGCTTTGTCCAAGTAAAGCTACTCAATTTGGGTCGATATCCATCCAATGACCAATACAAATATCAATAAACCCTAATTTTTATATGAAAGTTTTTGTATTGCAAAGAGATACAGTTCACAACAACTGTTACACAAATTTTTATAGCAAATTTCACAAATTTTATTCTCTAATCAGTAAAAAAAAAAAAAACTCAAAACGATTACACAATTCCTAATGATAATACTGAGCCATTAGAAAACAATCCTTACCCTGCTATAAGTCTAAAAGTTAAAAGGGTCTTAAAAAGTCCGAAAAGTCTTAAAAATTTGACTTGATAAAACCTACAGGAACCCTGATATTAATAATAACACTTGTCATTTTACTTCTTATTTAATGAAAAACACTTAGCAATACAACATGAACACATTTACACTACCTAAAACTGTGTTTATTGGACACAGGTACATCAAGTTAAAGATATTTTGGACCAAATTTTTCAATATAAATAATCTCTAATATCAGTCATTGTTTCATATATATTGTGCTATATGATACTTAATATATACATTCATCCATTTTCCTTCATTTTAGTCCCTTATTAACAGGGGTACAGCAATTCCAGCATATGTTTTACGCAGCGGATTCCCTTCCAGCCACAACCCAGTACTGGGAAACATTCATACACTCTAGCATTCACACTTGCATGCACAAACTCCAGACAGAAATGCAAACTAGTCCAGCCAGAACCAGCAACCTTCATGCTTTAAGGCGACAGTGCTAACCAATGAGCCACCATGCCGCCTACTTAATATATTATGTAAATTATGTTAATGTAGACTGCATCATGGTGACTTATATTTTATGTAATATGTATGTATTTTAGTTACCTCCGTGCTGCCTTCAGTAGAATCTTTTTTCTTTCTGCTAGTTTTTCCTGAGCAATAAAAATAAATAACAAAATCATGAGTTTTATTATTATTCTTGTTAAAGGAACTTAATAAGTAAATATAGGAACTTAACCTAATAAAATAGAGTTTTCTTAAAACAAAACAAAGCTAATGGAGTCACATGACACCTGCATGTTACTGAAAAGTGTGCAGATGGCGCTCTCTTCTTCATCCACATTGGCTCTGACCTCTCCAATCATGGCTTTGAGCAGAATAATGGCCTCTCGCGCTGACATCTGAAGCTCCTTCACTGCCTGAAGAGAGACAAATCACTGCACTACACTGTAAAGGAATTCTAGCTGCATTCATTATTTTTAGTTTAATCAAAATAACTTTATATAATGGAAATAAAATTTAATTCAAGTAAGTTAAAGGTAACAAAAACATTTGATGTCATGATATGAGTTTAGGCGCTTCAAAGAAGACCGGCAAGAATGAAAGTAAATATTGTTACAAAAAAAAAGAAAAGGAAGGGAAACTCACTAAGACGGCTTGGTCCAGTTTTTCACAGCCTTGTATATATGCTGTCTCAATATCAATGCAGTGTGCTCTGCTTTCCCTGTGGAATAAGACAAAACCCAGATTATGTTGAATCATGAATCATGTGCTACAGTTTACTGAGTGCCCAGCATGAACACTAACACATTTCTTAGAAAAACATCCATCCTGTTTTCATACATTCATACTCATTTCTATGAGATGCTATAAAATTGGAAAATTGTTTAAATCTGGTTTTACATTTGATTAGCTAGCATCAATGCCAAAACTAGATTTATTTTACAAAATAACTTTAAATCGGTGCAAGAAATAAGTATACACCAAAGGGCAAATAATTAAAAAATATAGGTCATACAAACTATCAAATGTAGCTGATTAAAACGTTTAAAATGTCTCACTTCACAACAAGGTTTTATTAGTTAGTGCATTCATTAAAATAAAGAAACAAAGATTTATTACAATATTTATAAATCTCTGTTAGTATTACTTTAATAGAAATATAGTTCACTGTTAGTTAATGTTAGCTCACACACACAAAAAAAAAACTGCTATTTTTTGCTGCTTGTTAAAAATACTTTTTAAAAATTTTCTGAAACAACACAATTCTTGAGATTTGGGTTAAACACATAATTTTTTTTGTTCAATCCACTTATATGTGTTAAGTAAACGTAATTGTGTATAGAACCCTGCATTTTCTTTACAGCGCATTCACTAACGTTAAAGCACAACTTTAAATTGTAATATCGCATTTGAAATTGTTGAACTATGATTAATAACAGCTGTACTATACTGAAGTATTGTTCATTGTTAGTTCATGTTAGTAAACACATTCACTTACATTAACCTTTCTATGGAAATGGAAACCTTATTGTAAAAGGGTCACCATGTTTCTAACTTTACGTGAAAACACTCACCTAGATTAATCCCTTAAATAAAACAAAACTGTTCCAATTTAAATGGTGGCTGAAAAGCAAACTAGGCAATAAAAAAAAACTTGTTAATAAAGCCAATATTTCTAATTCTGCCTTGTTGCTGTTGTCTGCACTATTAAGTCCAGTTTTCGCTCATTTATTTAGAGGCTGTTTTCATATGACTCCACTGGTACTAATGGTTCTATTTACACCATAGTTACAGTACACCCACCCTGTATATTGTCCACATCTTCCAATAAAACATCAAATATAAATTTTCAAGGGGAATGCACACATTAATGCTGGCCTCTGTATACTCAAAGTTTAGGACTCACACTTGCATGTCTCTGAAGCAGTTGATGCAGAGCATGGACTTTTTCTCTGTAGAAAACATGATGTAGAATTCCTCATGGAGGGCTGTGAACACAGACTGTGCATGATTATCAATGCTTGTTCTTTTTTTTATATAAACATTTCATTACTTTATATTTAGCTGGAGATACTTGACATAGTTTGGACTAATTCACACTTACCACATTTTTTGTGGGCTTCTTTGGTACGTTTTGCCAAGGAGACGATCTCGTGGCGGGAAAACATCTTGGCTTTATGGGTGGTTTCCCTGCAGTCTCGACACAGTGGCTGGCAACAAGTGTTGCAATAATACATTGCATCCACATCCTAGAGAGATTAAGTCCAAAAGTGTTGTTTTAAAAAAAAATTAAAAATAATAATAGTAACTATTGGAACACTGTGCTCAAATACATTCATGTGACAAACAAAACACTACTGCAGCACAACTGTTCAATTCTCAATGAATGACTCAATTCTTTTTCAATCAATGAATGACTTCAATTCTAAATCAAACATACTCTCAGCGCTCATAAAGGCCTTTAAAAAATCCTGGGCAAAAATTATTTTCAGTATGAAAATTAAAGTCCTTTTCCTGTTTTTAGCTTCTTCATAGTAGGGCAGCACAATATTAGAAAAATTCAACATTGCAATATTTTGTTTCTCTGCAGTATATATTGCAATATGAATACATTTTCACCAGATGACTTCAATAGCTCTATCGGGAAATAATTTACAAATTTTGACTGATTAGGATGATTCTGTAGGGGAGTTGAGCAAATATAAAAATTATATTACAAAGCATAGACACATGTAAATACATTATAGCAAAGAGAAATGTGAAATTTTTGGTTTTCTGGGGAGTCTAATTGCATTCAGATACAGAATTTGAATAATCAAATGTAAAACAACACTATAAAGTGTTCAAATGTAGAAATAATTCAATACAATTGGCATTTATTTCAATTAGAAATGGTGGCGACACAGTGGCGCAGTAGGTAGCTCTGTTGCCTCACAGCAAGAAGGTCACTGGATCGAGCCTCGGCTGGGTCAGTTGCATTTCTTTGTGGAGTTTGCATGTTTTTCCCGCGTTCGTGTGGGTTTCCTTTAGGTGCTCTGGTTCACCCCACAAGTCCTAAGACATGCGGTACAGGTGAATTGGGTAGGCTAAATTGTCCGTAGTGTATGAGTGTGTATGGTTGTTTCCTAGTGATGGGTTACGGATGGAAGGGCATCCGCTGCGTAAAAACATATACTGGATAAGTTGGCGGTTCATTAAGCTGTGGCATCCCCAGATTAATAAAGGGACTAAGCCAAAAAGAAAATGAATGAATAAATTAATAAAATTAGAAAGGGTACAATTTTGTACAATGTTTTAAACTCTTGTTTTAAACTTGAAAATCTCCTTAAGGCCTTAAGAAACACAAATGATACATTTTACTCCATTTTAGTTCCACCATGCAGTGACTCTACAAATTTCTAGGGATGGCTGACGTGAAACTGACGTTTCAACACAGTGTCGAGATCCCGAAGCGCAAGTGTTTCGAAACACTGCACCGAAGCATGATCTGAAACACCCAAGTCACGTGACTAAAATGTTTCGAAACACTTGGTCACGTGACAAAAGCGATTCAAAGCATCGATCATTTCAGAGGCGTTTCAAGACCCGGAGAATCTGCATTTGACTGGCATGATCTTCATTATAACTTATGTCTTGTATGGCCTAGTGGACCGTGCGTGTGCATTATGGTACTGTATTTCAAATTTATTTTGCGTTCGAATCTCGACTAGTACTGTTACTGTTTTATGGTGTAGCCTAGATAGGATACAGCTGCGGATATGCCATCAATTTAGCATCATTTTTGTAACACTGTAGAACAATAATTCATATTTTTACAGTACTGTGATGGGTTTAGGTTTTGGATAGACGTTAATAAAATACAATGGAAAATGTAATTAATAATATAAATAATTATTGTTAACTTCTGGCCACAACTGTATCTGATCTAGTAACAACCCTGTTTTATGAACAAAACAATACAAATTTATTTACAAGGTGTTTATTCGTATGTCAGAGCAATGTTGAAACAAAACGATACAATAACAAAGCATTACCAACTGGTATTAAAATTGCTCAACTGTTCTTTGCTGAAGCTGTTTCAGTGAAATACAAATAAAATGACCACTAGGTGTCACCGTAGAGTGGTGTTTCGAAACGTTTCGAAGCTTCGACACATTTGCTTCGATAGTTTCAGTGTTTCACGAAGCCTCGCTTTGCCCACCACTACAAATTTCATGTGTTCTGATCTGTGGCTGGAGGTTAACTAGACCCAAAATATAAACATATCTAACTCAACTGAATGTGCTTTCATACACGTCTCTCATTTGAAGTCAACAGCTTTTAGCCTTACTCCGCTTCTTACTCCCTGTACATGATAATGAACATGATTATGAACATGATTTATGCAGTCCTGTAATGAAGACTACTTCCATGACTCCACTCTCAAGGCTGATTTATACTTCTGCGTTTAGCGCACGTGTATGCTACGGTGCAGCCTACGCGTCGATGCATAGCCATACACCGTGGTTGTCGGCGTTGCTGACATGCACCTCTCAAAAATTGTCGCAACGACGGAGATCGTAACCATATATGGTTTGCCTAAATCGTGTGTCCTAGATTGTGTGTGCCTAAAACGTGTGTGGTTCTGCGGGCCTGCAGCTGGATATTATTGCAACGACGCGTAGCGCAAGCACTGTGATTGGTCGACTTGGTAGCACTGACGAGTCTGGGAGGGACCGATAGCTGCGCGAGCTTGATGGAGTGATTGTTTACAAGTGTGGAGTCCCGTGAAGGAGCTCCAGATGCAAAGTTTTGTTTTGTGTTTGACTTATGGTTAAAGTTGTTGCACGTCCGCCAGTTTCCTGCCTCAAAATGAGCGAGTTTGAGTCACTTGTATATATAGGAAGCATTAAGAAAAAACAAAACACGAGTGAAGAAACGCGACACAGAGGAACATTAACACCTCACTGCCAACTAGCGTTATACGGAAGTGTTAATCCAGACCTACAGAAACAGCGTGCAGAAGTATGAATGCACAGCGACACGTGTTGCATGCGCCGTGGGTTACGCCGGTCACTTGACGCAGAAGTATAAACCAGGCTCAGTCATGGCATCATCAAGCTACATCTTTGTTTATTGTGAAAATGCAATAGTGGTGAAAATTGGAAATGTCATTTTTGGGATATCAAGACTGCAAAAAGTAATTCTACATTAAAACATGAATATATAAGAAAAATAAACATGTAATAAAATAATAATATATTAAGAAAATATTGCTTCTTATTTCCACTACAGTTGTTTTAAAATTTCTCTACAAAGTGCACGTTTCTTGTAATAAAGAGACCTGTTTCTTGCACTCCAAATCACAGTTTGCACACTGCACAGTTTCCTCGCTGTCCGCTGAACTGTCCACCAGAAACTTTAGTAGTCGATCCTCAGGAGGGAGTGCATTGATTCCTTTTACAACAGACTGATGTCTGCAAAGGAAACAGAGATTGTACAGAATGTTTGACCCATTGCCTGATTATCTTTTAGTCATACATCTGGCACTGAAGTGTTTATCTCTGCCTCATAGCAACAAGGACACAAATAGCTTTCAAAGATAGAACAGAGAGCGACAGTGAACCCACAATAGACACAAACAATGTGGGACTGAATTATAAGTCATGTATTTGAATATTTCGATGATTAATAGTTCAAAGATTGCCATTTATAAGCATTCACTATGTATAATTAGACCAAATACTATATTTAATATTCTATATTGTAATAATATTGTGTTTTTCATCACTAACACCACACAAAAATGCATGCAATCACAATTAACACAGAGAACTCTGCAGTATAATTAACACTCGACTTAACACTGAGTACTCATACTTACTCTAACATGCTGCTTTATAAAGACCACCAATCGTTTCCCCCTTTTTCATAAATGTCCTCCATATGTGCGAGATCTACGGTGTGCGTTTAAGCTGCTGCTAGACTTACTACAGTATATGGCGACAGAACAACGAGTGCATGCACAGGCATTTCAGCCATCTCTGTCTGCAGCCAGCCCACGACCTGCGGATCCAATGTCAAGTATCAGATAGTGCTCGGCTTATTGTTTGATGCCATGGTGGCCATGCTAGAATGCGCCCAGAGACCTTTGATTAAGTCCAGCACAGAGGCCGGGTTTATGGTGCAGCTGTTTGGCACTGTAGAGTTGCCCAGACATTGTTATTTGACCATCTATAAATACAGTCTCAAATGCATGGCTTCATGTGAGCCTTTAAACCGCTGCAAGTGATTTAAATACAGGTTGAACTGTCAAAATAAGTTGATCAATGATAGCATATATTATATTCTTACCCACATACAGGGCAAGTCAGACGGCTGTCCGCGACTCTTCCACGCAGGCAACTGGCACAGAACGTGTGATAACAGTCCAGTAAACATGGATGCTCGTATTGCTCTTGGCACAAGTGGCACACTAGAGGATGGCAGTTGGCACTGTCCAGGTCATAGAGATTATCCACAGAGTAAAAGATCTCTCCGGACATCTGAAAATACAGGGAAGACCTTCGGAAACTTGATATAGTGTATCCTTGAGCGCATTTATCTATCAGATGTATGATTATGAGCATAGATGGTATCCTGGAGCTCTCCGTTATTCAAATGTTCTTTAGACACCGAGGTTAATGTTCATTATTAGACTCTAAATAGACTTTGGAGCAATATAAAGGTCCTATGCTGACTTTTATATTAATTTAGTACTGAAAAGTAAAAAAACTATTTAATGTATATATGTAATTTCGTTCTCATATAATGGATATCTAAATACCTTGTCCTGTCCAAGAGCTTCTGCTGGTTGAAGTGGCTTCCGATGCAGGATGTGACAAAAAACAAACAATGAACTCTCCTGTATGTGTGGTATGACAAGGGTGATTTGTTGAGGTCACAATGCTCAAAGACTGATTACACAACACAAACCAGATGCCATTGTCTGTCAAAAGAAGCTAAAAATAAATCAAACGGTATATCTTGCTTAAACTAACATGTCATAAAAAACACTCGCATAACATTAATGCAAGCTTTTTTTTCTTTTTAAATAATCTATAAAATGTAAACATTTGAAAATCTCTGAAACATCTCACATCAGGGTGGTAGTTGATGGTAATCATATACCACCATCTATCCTGTTAGGAAACTCACATACTCCTGAATCATGACATTGAGGTAAACATTACAGGTTAAATAATTAGAGACTTACTTGCTATATAGTAGTGCAACATTAAGTGACACATCATTTTATTGGTGGGAAATAGTGAGTCTTTACATCAATCAAAGACCAGTCTTGTAATTAAAGTGAACTGTTTATTATTTTATATATGTGCTTTTTTTTTGCATTTGCATTTGCATTTGCAATGACGCTACCTTATGGCCAATAGCCTAGCAAACACTTTAAGCTCTCTATAAGCTGGTATGGAAGTCTATATGTGGTACCAGAAAAAACATGACAAACTTACATTTTTCTCTTTTGACTTTAGATCTCAAACTTCTGATTTTTTTTTTCTTACATGATTTTGAGAATTTATTTCTTCTGTTAAACACAAAGCAAGATATTCTGAGGGGTTTCCCCCCAATATTCTTTAGTACATCTTTAATAACAAACATATGGTCATAAACTCATCATTGTAATTTGTATGAAGTTGGCCTTCCAAGGCATTATTGCCTTTTCCAAAACTTTTTAAACACTATCAGTCTGTAATGAGCTAATCATGTTGTTGATTTGTGCAGTTTATTTATGAACTGATCTCGAGAGGATCATCTGCTTTTGATTGATCATAGTGGGTCCCGCATCAGCTAACACATGATACACCATTCGGATGAATCCTAACTCACTATAAATAATGCTCTTGTTAAAGTAACCCTCGTTCCTCGAGGAGGGGAACAGAAATGCTATAAGTGGATTTAATCCACATATGTAGATTTCGTTCAGAAAGCCAATCATCTGAAAGAGTATGTAAATGGGCCAATGAAATGCCAAATAAATTGGCAGCGTCAGCTTGCGCACCTGATGCTTGTTGCCATCAATTTAGCATAAGTACAGGGAAAGCAAGAAGACACTAACCTTTTTATGCTGAAGAGACTGAACATACATTATGGCGATGCAATATAGAATTTCCGTTCCCCTCCTCGGGGAACGAGGGTTACTTTAGTAACCAGAGCGTTTCCCTTCGAATGGGGAACTTCAATGCTATAAGTGGATTTAATCCATGTATGGGGAAATGTCTGGAAAACGCCATAATGACTGCACCTTACCTTCTCCTCCGATGAGAGGATAGCCAGGCATAGCGTAAGCACTCCCGCATCATAGAGAGGCGCGGTCTTCCAACGTGATCCCTGGCCCTTACTTATCCCACTTCAAAGAAGATATATGGATTTAAATATATTTTTCAGGAGCCGCAAGCGTCTAGATTATTTCTAGGAATTTAATAAGACAGTATGTTGGGAAAGCATGCAGTTCTGATAGGGAGAAGGCTGCGGAGGCCACCTGCTACCCAATAGGGAGATATGATGGCAGAATATATGGACTAGCCCTGAGAAGGGGGAGTTTGCATATAATAAGAAGGTTAGCGGAGAGGGAAGATACATGTCCGTCTGTGAGGGGGGACTGCACCGAGGCTGAATAAGCATATGGGATCACCTAGTGGGGATCACGCATAGCGGGCACCTATACCCAAAACGTGGACTGAGTGACTCCTCCGCTGAGTCAGTGCTGGGGGCCTCGGAGGAATCTGCAGGGCTCACCTAAACAAGGATCTTTACTGACAGAGTGAATAAGCGCACGTATTTCCGTGTTATGGAGAATGGCGCAGCAAGCATGTTTCAACACCCTAACTGAGTTGTTTCCTCAATCACCATGGGTTATCTAATACCCTTGAGGAAACCGACTCCACTTGCAGATCGTAAAACCTTGCAAATGTATTAGGTGTCTCCCAGCCCGCAGCTCTACAGATGTCTGTTAGAGAAGCGCCGCATACATGCACCCAAGAGGATGCGATGCTCCAAGTGGAGTACGCACGCACTCCTGGGGGACATGGCTCACCCTGGCTCTGGTAAGCGAGGGAGATGGCATCCACTATCCAGTGGGCCAGCCTCTGTTTCGATACGGCACTTCCCTGCTGTTGACCGTCATAACAGACAAAGAGCTGCTCAGATGATCTAAAGCTCTGAGTGCGGTCCAGATAAATTTGCTGCCAGCCACCGTGTCATAATAAGGCAGGGCGACAGCCTGCTCTCCAGCTTCTCTTGGAGGAAAGAAAGCACAATGCTGATCTGGCAATTTCGGGGGTCTTCTCTTTGAGAGGCGCACCATTCAGTGAATAAACTCCACTTTAGGGCGTAGGCGCGCGAGGTGCGGCGAGGGCAAATACCCCTCATGCGGTTGATATATGCCACTGTCGCCATGCTGTCCGTCCTGACCAGCATGTGCTGCTGCTCTAGCACTGGAAAAAAAACGGTGGAGAGCGAGGAACAATGCCAACAGCTCCAGTCGATTGATATGCCAATGCAACTGGGTCCCTTTCTACAGGCCCGCAGCTGCATGCCCGCAACACACAGCCCCGCAGCCAGTGCTGGAAGCATCTGTTGAAACAACAACATGACTGGATGCCTTTCCTAGGGCACTCTGGCCTGCAGGAACGAGGGGTCATTCCAAGGGCTGAGGGCCAAGCAACACAGCGCAGTAACAGTGACTCGGTGTGCGCGCGTGTGCCCTGCGCGTCTGGGGACTCGATCGTGAAGCCAGTGCTGAAGTGGTCTCATATGGAGTAATCCGAGCGGCGTGACAGCGGCTGCAGATGCCATATGCCCCAGGAGCCTCTGAAATAATTTCAGTGGGACCACTATTTTGCTGTCGAACTCTCTCAGACAGTTCAGGATTAGCTGAGCCCTTTCCGGAGAGGCGCACTGTCATGATGACCAAGTCCAGCTCCAGCCCAAGAAAAGAGATCCTCTGCACGGGGGCGAGTTTGCTCTTTTCTTGGTTGACCTGAAACCCCCACAGGTTCAGGTGCCGGAGCACCTTGTCTCTGTGCATAATCCATTGCTCCCAAGAGTGGGCTAAAATCAGCCAGTCAGCCGATATAATTGAGTATACGGATGCCCGCGAGCCGAAGGGGCGCTAAGGCACCCTCCGCGAGCTTGGTGAAGACCCGCGTAGACAGAGAGAGCCTGTTGGGGAGGACTTTATATTGCCAGGCTCGACTTTCGAACACAAACCGCAGAAACTGACGGTGGCGTGAAAGAATGGAGACATGGAAGTACGTGTCCTTTAGGTCTATCGCTGCAGACCAATCCTGAGGTCGAACGCACCGGAGGATGCGCATCTGCGTGAGGATTCTGAACAGCAGCTTGTGCATACAGTGGCTCAAAGCGTGCAGATCAAGGATTGGCCGTGACCCACCGCTCTATTTGGGCACGATGAAGTACGGGCTGTAAAAACCGCTCTCCATCTCGGCTGGAGGGACCAGCTTGATTGCATCCTGGCTGGCCCGCGCTAACCAGGCAGGCAGAGCTCTCGCTAATGGATAAATGCGGGGGCGGGGCAGCTCTCCTATGCGGGTGCCTTCGGCGAGGAGCAGCAGATATGGATGGCTTGGCAGGCAGAGCGGGCTTATGGTCCCGCCTATAGGTGACTTTACCCGTCGCATCAGACTGCTCTCTAGCTGCCTTAAATTCCTGGGTGAATTCACCAACGGTGTCGCCAAACAGGCTCCTGGACCACTAATGTGGACATTGTCCTCCCCAACGCACACGCAGCGGACTTAGTCATCCGAAGAGTATAGTCGGTTGCGGTGCGGAGCTCGTGAAGCAAGCTTGGGTCGGACCCACACTCGTGCAGCTAGGCCAGCGCCCGCGGTTGGAATGACTGGTCGGTGGCCATAGCGTGCAAGGCAGAAGCAGCCTGGCCTGCAGCATTGTAAGCTCTGGCTCCGAGCGAGGCAGATAACCTACAGGTTTTGGACGGGAGACGAGGCAGACCCCGCCAAGAAGAGTTGCCACACGGACAAAGATTGTTCACTATGGCGCGCTCGACCTGAGGAATCGCTCCATACCCCCTGGCTGCTCCACCATCAAGAGTGGTGAGGGCGGAGGACAGAAAAAGGTTGACTGCGCGAGCCTATTGTGCACCTCCGGGAAAAAGGGGATGAGAGGCTTCGAAGGCTTGGCCCTCTTGTCCTCTACATAGCACCAATCAAGTCAGTCTGGCTGTGGAGCTGGGGGATAAACCATCTCCAACCCCACGGCCGAAGCAACCCAGGAAAGCACGGCTAACATGTCCGTTTCAGGATCCATTTTGACATCGCTCACCTGCCCTGAGGGGGCGAGCAGGTCTGGATCCTCGTCGGACAATGAAAGCCCACCCTCCAATCCAGCAGTGGATGTCTGGTCCTCTGTGTCATCGAACGTAAGGGCTACCATCTGGTTATTTGGATCGCTTCCTCCGCTCAAAGCTTTGATGGAGCGCTTGGAGGAGCAAGAGGTCCGCGGGCCCAGAGACAACGGATAATCTCCCACTGGAACCTTCAGACCTGCCCGAGTGCCCGCTGCAGTGCAGGGGATAGCTGGGGTGGTTCGCCCTTTTGCAAGGGCTTGCCGCGATCATAACTGTGCAACAGACATGGCATCACAATGACAACATGAACTGCCCGCAAGCACCGCATTAACACGCTGGACCCCCAGACATGCAACGCAGTGCTCGTGCCTATCATCCGGGGACAGTAAACCACCGCATCTAGAAACGCAGTCAGAGCGCCGGACGTGTAGGACGTGCTGCACGACTGTGTTGCTCTTTTAGTGAAATTTGCAACTTTATACGCACCACTCTGG